TTGACTAGAGACCCAGTGCTTGAAATTTGTGCACAGGCATTGTGGGGACCCTCAGGCCGGCCTGCACACTGTTGCAATCTGGGACTACTGCTCCTAACCGCCTCTGCCTGCCTGATTGTCCTTAACCACCTCTGCCTGCCTGCCTGATCACTTCTAACCATCTGCCTGCCTGCCTAATCACCCCTAACTGTTTTGCCTGCCTGTCTGATTGGCCCTAACTGCCCTTGGCTACCTGTCTGATTGCCCCAACCCACTTTGCCTGCCTGCCTGATGCCCCTAATTGTTCACCTGCCTGACTGATCGCCCCTAACTGATTGCCTGCCTGCCTGATCAACCCTAACTGCCCCTGCCTGCCGTTCTAAATGCCCCTAACCACTTTTCCTGCCTGCCTGATGCCCCTAACTGATCACCTGCCTGCCAGATCACCCCTAACTGCTCACCTACCTGATTGCCCTTAACCACCTGTGCCTTGGCCTCCACACCCAGAACCCAGGCTTCTCTCCCTCTGGTCAGTCTCAGGTACCCGGGACCTGGGCTCACTTTACCTGTGCAGGCACCCCGGACCCTGGACAGTGCCACCAGGGCCCTGGCTCTGTCAGGAAGGACATCCGGAATGGCGTCTATAAGACCTCTGGTCTATTTAGCATATTACCCTTTTGTTAGGAAAGCTCTTTATGCTGTTACTCTGCTGAATTCACATAGTTCAGGACATGTGGATTCTGAAAGCTTTGCTCTAGGGATGTCTATGTTGTTTGCAAATATGAACAGTTACTTTTTCCTTTCTGATTTGTATGGCTTTCCTTTCTTTGCCTTGCCTTGTGCCTGATCTAAGAAGAAAGGTTTCCATCCTTGGACAAAGACAGTAGGGGGTGAGGGCATGTGTCTGGTGGGTTAGGTTGGCAAAGGAGAAATCAATGAGGGAAATAGAAGACTTACGGTATGTAATACTTTAAACAATAAAGATATTGAAAAATTATATATATGATATGTCCATGCAGTCTTTAAAATGCTAGATTTCCTTTATCATTGTATTTTTTTTTTAGATTTAAAAAAATATATATATTTTATTGATTTTTTTTACAGAGAGGAAAGGAGAGGGATAGAGAGTTAGAAACATCGATGAGAGAGAAACATCAATCAGCTGCCTCCTGCACACCCCCCACTGGGGATCTTCCTGCAACTAAGGTACATGCCCTTGACCAGAATCGAACCTGGGACCTTTCAGTCCGCAGGCCGATGCTCTATCCACTGAGCCAAACCGGTTTTGGCTATCATTGCATTTTATTTATTTATTTATTTATTTATTTATTTATTTATTTTAATATATTTTATTGATTTTGTACAGAGAGGAAGGGAGAGAGATAGAGAGTTAGAAACATCGATGAGAGAGAGTCATCGATCAGCTGCCTCTTGCACACCCCCTACTGGGGATGTGCCTGCAACCAAGGTACATGCCCTTGACCGGAATCGAACCTGGGACCCTTCAGTCCCCAAGCCGATGCTCTATCCATTGAGCCAAACCGGTCCCAGCTCATTGCATTTTATTTTAAAAAATATTTTTTATTGATTTCAGGAAGAGGGAGAGGGAGAAAGTGACAGAAACATCACTAATGAGAAAGAATCATCGATTGGCTGCCTCACAAGGGCCCCCTCTACCTCCTCAGGGATCCAGCCCACAACCCAAGGCATGTCAATTAGATAATGGAAACTTGACCTCCTGTTTCATAGTTCAATACTCAACTACTGAGCCACACTGGACATTCTCTTTAATCACTTTAATAGGCAGTGTACATCATTAACATTTACATAACTCACAACTGAACTATTTATGCTCAAATAGCATCTACATAAAAGCAGACTTTAAAAACACCCTACAACATAGCTCTGCATGCAACACTAGCACGTCAACTGGTCTGACCAGCAGGTGGCACACGAATCCTGAGGCCTGGCCATTTTCCTGATAATCCCCAGAAATGAATCCACTCTTTATAATTTATCCCCCATCCCCCAACTCCCACCCACACCTCCATCCCATGGCTGACTGTTTCAGCTGTTTGGGTGAAGCAGGATCATGGGGGACACCATGCAGAAGATGAGTCCCACTGGGCACCCTGTGCTGGGCTCTCTTCCCTGTCCTCAGGAGAAAAGCAGGAGACTGAGGGGGAAGATGCTGGAGGCTTCTGCTGGGAGGGAAAAGAGGAAAAACCCATTTACTGAGCGCTTACTCTATGCCAGCCCCACTGCCAAGCCCTCAACATGCACCATCTCCTTGGATCTTACAAGCATTCACTAAGCTGGGTGAGCATCATGATCCTCATTTGACAGGGGAACTGAGGTTCTTGCCAGAGATCTCTCCACCCAACAGCATCATACTCATCATGAGTCTTCATTGGAATGCCCTTTTTTTTAAAAATTAAAAATCATAATTTATTGACTTTTTTGCAGAGAGGAACGGAGAGGAATAGAGAGTTAGAAACATCGATCAGCTGCCTACTGCACACTACCTACTGGGGAAGTGCTGAAACCAAGGTACATGCCCTTGACCGGAATCCAACCTGGGACCCTTGAGTCTGCAGGCCAATGCTCTTTCCACTGAGCCAAACCGGTTAGGGCCAATTGGGTGCACTTTGATTAGGGTCACTGTGATGGGCTAATTTTATGTGTCAACTTGACCTGAGGTCGTCGAACTTTTGGACCTCACGGACCACCATTTGGCAAGGGCTAAACTTGACGGAACTACGGGTTGCCAAAGTAGCTAGTAAAACAATTCTGGGTATGAATGGACCAGGTTAGCTTTTGATTCAACACATGAGTAAGGAGATCTTACAGTGCAGCTAGGCTTCTTCCAATCCCTTGGGGGCCCAAGTGGAATAAAAAGAGGAAGGAAGGATGAATTCTCTCTTCTTTGGTTTTAGCTGGTGGTGAACATATGTTCCTGGTTGTCAGGGCATCCAACTCCAGGGTGTGCGCCAGCTGCCCTTTATTCTCAGGCCTATGGCCTCACACTGGGGGTTCCGCCATGGGCTCCCCTGGTTCTCAGGCCTTTGGACTTGGCCTGAGCTCTTCCATTGGCTTTGTAGGTTCCCCAGCTTGTAGAGGGCAGATATTGGGATAGGAGGCGGGAGTGAAGGCTATAGTGATGCTAGACAAAAACAGAACAGAGAGATATTGGGGGACAGGCTTATGAAGGAGGGACTTTAGAGGCTGCTTGTCATAAGGGAGGTCATTGGGGTGTGGTTAAGTGAAGGAGTGCCATAAGGGCAGGAATGGGGCCCTGGAGACACGGTGTAATGAGGGAAGAAACTTGCTAACTGGAAAGAGTTCTCTGTGGAAGAACCCAACCCTAAGATAAACGTGCCTGGTGGCACCTGGTGGCCATGATGTTGCCATAACTGGGTTACCTGTTATTGGCCCACGATTATTTCTGTCCCTGGCTCAAAGATCTGAAAGAGCCCACACATCAGCCTTCAGTGCCTTTCAGGTTTGAAAATGTCTAACTCCCAGGTCTGGCCGATTTCCCTCTAATCAGTCTTACATTTAATCTTCTCTACCCAGATTGCTAAACTAATCCCATCTTTCCCAGAGCAGACCCACCCTTTTCCTCCTGGGTGGGACAGAAGATGGAATCTCTCCCTTTGTCCTCTAGGATGGCACTGTCTCCTCTCCAGCTTGTCTCCATTTAGATCCTGAATTCACCCAAAGAAGAGTCTTTCCATCTCTCTTCTTTCCAAGAAAACCACCATCTTTTCCATGGCCCTGGGTCATTCACAGGGTCCCATTAGGATGGCCCAGCACCCCCCTGCTCAGCCCTGACCCCTGCCTCACATGGTCCTTCCCTCAGAGAAGCCTTGTGGTCTGAAGGGCCATCCACATCCTCAATCGCCAACTCCTTGCTCCCTGAGGAGCTCATGATCTGCTATGTCACCTGCCATAAAACGGAACTCGATGCCTGGACACATTTTCTTAGTTACCCTGGGAATGGCAGCAGTGTCTTCTCAAGGATATTTTAACCCTGCAATGTTCTGATATCTATGATGTGGCCAAAGACCCCCAGAAACCATGCTCTCCGGTTTTGCCTTTCCTATTTAACATCAGGAACCCATGACACCTTCACTGTCTCACACCCAGGATGACAACTATGGGCCATCAGTCAACCTCAGTCATTGTCTGTAGAAGGGATCAATGAGCCAGGCCTCCATCTTGCCCCTCCCTAACTTTCTCTCAATCCATTCATCTGAATAGAGGCAATAATCACATTAGGAGTGAGGAATAGGGACTGAGATTCTGATTGGATGCTTGCATTTAAGAAGGTGTATATAAACCTCAGATATCAGAGGAGAGATTCAGAGATTTCCAGCTTTGCAGTCAGTTCTGTGGTTCTCTTCCAGGTCTGAGATCTGAGCCCCAGAAAACCTGGTCACAGCAGGTAAATTTCCAATCTTAGCCAAAGGCTGTAAGTTTTGGGGTTGGCACAGAGAGCTTTACTTGCTTTTTTTTCTTTTTTCTTTCCTTTTCTTTGTTTCTTTCTTTTAACAGACAAACAGGTAGAAATCATTGATTTTGTCACTAAGTGTAGTTTTGCTTGAATGTCAAACATTTAGATTTGTGCTTTTGTCTATTTATGAATGTGTAACCAAGCATTCCCTGATGCCCCTCTCCCAACTGTGGTTTTATTTCTGGAAATTTTAAATTTCCCCCCAAAAAGGTGGGGGTCAGCTTTCAGGCCCTTCGGTACCCACTTCCCAGGCAGACTGGAATGAAAAACATGGATGCTTCTGAGATGCTTGTCCTGGGGCCTGCAGGGGAGCTATGGCTCTGTGGTCACCTAGCCCGGAATGGGACTCTAAACAGAGGCTCCCACCATTGCCAGGCAGTGGCTTTGGCCCTGAGTTGATTCCTGTGAAAATGGGGAGTCAGAGGATGGGGCTCAAAGGCTTGGCCTGATGAGGATGTCTTGTTCCCTGGACTTTCCCACAGGATTCCTTTGGAGCACCTTGAGGATGAGCATCAGGACCCCACCCACACTCCTGCAGCTGGCAGCGGAGAGCCTGCTGAGGGACCAGGCCTCGGCCATCGCAGCTCTGGAGTACCTGCCCGCCGAGCTCTTCCCACAGCTGTTCATCCTGGCCTACCACAGTAGACGCCACCAGGTCCTGAAGGCGATGGCACAAGTCTGGCCCTTCACTGTCCTCCCTCTGGGCGGCCTGCCACACCTGTCACTGGACGAGGTCTTTAAAGCCGTGTTGGATGGGCTTGACCTTCTGCTTGCCCAGGAGGTTCGCCCCAGGTAAGGCTGCTCCAGGTGCCTGGTAGGCTCCTGGCCATCCTGGAGACAACCGACATCAGGGCATGTGGAGGGCCTAAGGTGGAACTCAAGGTTTCTGAAGGTGCCAGTGAAGCTCAGGGAGCCCTGGCACACTGCTGAGCTCACCGTGGGAACTGGAGGACGCGGGATTGAGAGAGTCATCTGCAAAACGTGCACAGCTTCCTCCCAGTGGTATTTGAAGGTAGGAGAAGCATGTATCAGGAGGGATGGAAGGAGATGAGCAAAACAAAGCAGCGGGAAGAGGATGGTAAGGGAGAAGTTGACCTTGGGATTCTAAGTAGAAGCTCATGGTTGGGGTGGAGTCTGATTGTTGCCTCAACCCAGATACTCAGTCTCATTCTTCCCTGCTTTTGTTCTGTTGTAATTTTTCAAAAAATATATATTTTTTTTTATTGATTTCAGAGATGAAGGGAGAGGGATAGAAAGAAACATCTATGAAAGAGAATCATTGGCTGCTTCCTGCACGCCCCCTACTGGAGGGATTGAGCCTGCAACTCACACATGTGGCCTTGGCCAGAATGGGACCTGGGACCCTTTAGTCCACAGGCTAAAGCACTGTCCACGGAGCCAAACCAGCTAGGCTTCTGTCGTTATTTTTTAAAAAACACCTTTTGTTCTTGATTTCAGAGAAGAAGGGAGAGATAGAGATAGAAACACCAATGATGAGAGAGAGTCACTGATGGCTTACCTCCTACAAATACTTCCCCTCTGCACTGGGCATTGAGCCTGCAACACAGGCATGTGCCCTGATTGGGAAGCAAATCATGACCTCCTGGTTCATAGGTAGATGCTCAATCACTGTGACACACTGTCAGCCAATGTCATGTTGACCTGAAAGAATCTCACTAATGTCCCGCTTTCCCCACAGGAGGTGGAAACTGCGGGTGCTGGATTTAAGGAATCTCGGTGCAGACTTCTGGAGAATGTGGTGTGGAGACAGCATCCAGAAGCCCCCACCGACTTGTCCAGTGGCTGTGCACAGGTCCAGACCCAACATGGAACACCCCTTAGCTCCCGTGGAGGTGTTCCTAGACCTTAACTTCAATGCAAGCAACAGGGAAGAGTTTCTCATGTACGTCATCCAATGGGCCCAGCAGAGGGAAGGGCTGGTACACCTGTGCTGCAAGACGCTGAAAATTGCTGCGGTGCCCTTCCACAGGGTGAGGCAGGTCCTGGATGCGGTGCAGTTGGACTGCATCCAGGAGGTGAAAGTGAACTGCACCTGGGACCTATCCACCCTGGGGACGTTTGCTTTTTACCTGGGGCAGATGAGGAACCTGCAGAAACTCTCTCTCTCCCACATCAAAGTGTTGAGTGAGGAGGAGGGAGATGAGGATGAGGAGGAAGAAGAGGAGGAAGTAGAGTCAGAGGTAGAACAGGAGCAAGAGGAAGTGGAAGAGGCTGAGAATCAGGAATCTTTTTCCCAATTCCTCTCTCAGATGCTCAGGCTGCAGCACCTCAGGGAGCTCGACATGGATTCCCCCTCCTTCCTCCGAGGCCGTCTGGACCAGATGCTCAGGTGAGCTGTGTAACAGTGGTTACAGCCCTAGAATGTAAAGGGAGTGGTATTGTTAGATGCTTTGAGGGTTCCCATGAGCACCCAAAGGAAGCAGGTTTTGAAATCAGCCTGTCAGGGTGGGTAACAGAATTGGCTCAATGAGGTACCCAGCCAGCCTGGGTGTGTAAATTTTGCCTTAGGGACAGAGGTCTAAGTGATGAGGCCTTAGGAGGAGGGTTGGGAGGAGTCAAAGCCCCATCAGATGGGGCATTTTCAGACATAAGCTCTGTGCTCACCAGCCATGTGAACACACATGAGCCTCTCTCAGATTTTCTATCTGTCAGAGGTGGTCCTGGGTACCAGGAAAGTCATTAATAGAAAGGACAGGCATGGTTCCGAAGCTAAGGGAGTGGGAGTGGAAAGGACTGCAGAGTGACCAGTGGTTTGCGGTGATGTATGGATGGAAGTCGCCTTCCCAGTTTGATGTTGCAGAATCTTCTTCTGGTTTACTCTCTCCCTTTTCTTTAAATCCTCAAAGGAGGATTTCCCCCCGTTGATTTTTAGAGAGTCAAGTGGAAGGTGGAGAGAGAGAGAGAGAGAGAGAGAGAGAGAGAGAGAGAGAGAGAGAGAGAGAGAAATATGATGTGAGAGAAATGATTTGTTGCCCTCAGCACATGACTCAAACCCGGGCCGGGCATTGAACCATCAATTGATATCTGTGCACTTGACCGAGAATCAAACATGAGATCCTTGGTACCAAAAAAGAAAGCTTTATCCACTGAGTCAAACAGGCTAGGGCCACTTGAGTTCCCTATGAATTAAAATCTAATGTGGTCCAGATGTCTGATGCCTGGAGCCAAGCAGTGGACAGAAGGGAGCCTGAGTTGACAGCATGGTTGGTTTTGTCTCCCAATCATAAGGCGCCCACCTTGACCTAGACGCTGTCAGACTCTCTGAGCAGGTTCCCACAGTTTCCCTTATGTCCAGACACCCTCCAGAGAGCAGTGCTTTGCTTGGCAGCTGAGAAAGAAACTCTGGAGAAGTGGTGAACTTGACTCAGCCTAAAAGGAGACTGTGATTCCACTGTGTTTCCCATCATCAGGTTGTCAGGACAACCCTGGGCTTAGACAAATCAGTCTTCTCCCACATGGAGGCCCCCTCTACCTGCCACCCCCATTCCATGAACTAACCGCTCTGTGTCTCCTCAGGTGCCTGCAGACCCCCTTGAAAAAACTCACCATAACAAATTGCCAGAGCCTGACCCATTCAGACCTGACACACCTGTTCCAGTGCCCGAACCTCAGGCAGCTGAAGTGCCTGCGTCTGTATTGTGCCAGCCTCGCTGACTTTAGTCCTGAGCCCCTCCGAGCTCTGCTGGAGGCATTGGCACCTACCCTCCAGGAACTGTACCTTGAAAATTGTGGCATCGTGGACTCTCAAGTGGAAGCCATCCTGCCTGTCCTGAGCTGCTGTCACCAGCTCATTACCATCACCATCACTGAGAACCGCCTGTGCTTGGCCATTGTGGGGAAGTTGCTGCGTCACACAGCTGGGATTCGCAGCTTAGACCTGGAGCTGTACCCGGTGCCCCTGGAGTGTTACACGACCCAGGGCACTGTCAACCAGAAGAGACTTGCCGTGATCCGGACTGAGCTGGTGGGGATTCTGAGGGAGTTGGACAGCCCAGGGCCATCCTGCTTGCCACCAAGCCCAGAGGCCAAAGGGAATATTATAAGGTGGCATTTTCATGACTGGGACCCCATGCTGTGCCCCTGTAATGACATGCTAAGTGGGTGCACCTGAACTTTCTGGTTCTTTGGAAGCTGAAACCTCAGACTTGGGTGCAGGGTCCACCAGTGTGTCAGGTTCATGCTCAGAGTGAATGGGGAAAGGGTGGGACACAGCCTGGCTGCAGGATTGCAGGGACAAAAGATGGGGAGTTATTGGGACCTCAAAGGCAAAGTGTCCTACAACCGGAAACATGAATCTCATTTGCTTGGGGTGGGGGCAGAATTTGGGCTTGAGCTTCTTGTGTGGGAGTGAATCCCGGGGTGAATGATTGTAAAGGAATGATGAGAAATAAAGACAATTTCAAAGGCAACCTTCTGGTCCTCTTGCATGTATTCACCTGTCTCTCCAGTTCACCTGTCTCTCAGGATCCTGTAGTCACTGATGAAAAAAGGTGGGGAGGGCTCAGGATCAGAACCTGGAACTGCTGGGATGCGGTTAAGCTGTAGGGCTCAGCTCCATGTTATCCCTCCCTCCAGGTCTTCTCTTCTCTCTGGGCATGTCTGACCTCCTTGTGGCTGCTCAGTGGATGGATACAAATGGACATGCTAAATGGCCCACCAACCCCTGAAGTGAAGGGGACCTCTCTGATGTTGGATGCCAGTGTTCCCTATGGGTCTGCAGGTGGACTCCCAAATGTCAGGACTTGTGCCGGGAGAGGTTCAGAGACAAGGCATGACCCTCAGTCCAGAAGGGCTTGTCCACACTGCACAGGCACAGAGCCCGTGGGCCATCCAGCCCATGCCTGTTTGTCTGGTGCAGAGGAAGTAACCTGCTTATGGCCAGAAAAATTATTCAGATTCCTTTGAGCAAAATACTACAGTTATTCAGGGGCATAACACTTTTCTGAGGATTTGTACACCACATAAAAAAGAACCCGGCAAAGGGGGTGGGGGCAGATCATGTCCATGGGGGGTTAGCATATTCCCATTAAACCTCTGTTCTGAAATCAGCCTGTCAGCAAGAGGTGCAGACACTGCACAAATGAGTGAGCTCCTTCCCTGTGCTCAGTCACTGTATTAGGCAGTGTTCCCTGGAATAGCCAACAGGGACAATTGGACGCAGATAGGAGATTTATAAGGATAGGCTCCAGCCTTCAGTCCCAATGCCTGCCCTCTGCAAGTTGGAGAACCAACCAAGCCAATGGAATAGCTCAGGCCAAGTTCAAAGACCTGAGAACCAGGGGAGCCCATGGCGGAATCCCCAGTGTGAGGCTAAAGGGCAGCTGGTACACACCTTGGAGGTGGATGCTCTGAGAACAAGGAATCTATGTTCACCATCAGCTAAAACCAAAGAAGAGAGAATTCTTCCTTCCTTCCTCTTTCTATTCCACTTGGGCCCCCAAGGGATTGGAGGAGCCCAGCTGCACTATAAGATCTCCTTACTTGTGTGCTGAATCAAAAGCTAACCCGGTCCATTCACACCCAGAATGCCTTTACCAACTATTTGGTCAACCTTTAGCGCCATCCCGGAGCGGCCGGGCCCAGAGCAGCCCGGTCGGGTGCGGCCAGGCCCGGACCAGCAGCAGCCGCTGGGGGTGGCCAGGCCCAAAGCAGCCGGGCCGGAGCATCAGGGTCGGGTGTGGCCAGGCCTGGAGCAGCAGCAGCCAGGCTGGGAGCGGCCAGGCCCGGAGCAGCAGCAGCCACGCCCGGAGCAGCCAGGTCAGGAGCGGCAGTGGCCAGACCCAGAGCAGCTGGTTGTAGAATGGACCAGAGCAACAGAGGCCAGGTCCGGAGCAGCCAGGCCCGGAACAGCTCGCTCCTCACCTGCCTCCGCCCCAAGGCTGCCTCTCAGACATGGCTGGAAACTTTTGGGGAAACTTGAGGGTCTGCTGAATCAAATGAGGAAGGCTTAGATCTGGATGTGTTAAGCAGTATAGCACTGGGGTGTTGATCTGTGAGTGCCTTGTGTGAGGCCTGGATGAGGTTGGTTAATCTATTTGGAAATGTCTTTTGTGTGAAGTGTATCCTTGGGCATGTGGAGGTATTATTGATATGAGAAAATGCTAAGTAACTGATTTACTCTCTGAAAAATTTAAAGTTCTGAAAGTTTAAGGTCTCTTGCCAAAAAGAGGTTTTAAAGCTAACATCTTAATTTTAAGGAGAAAGGGAATGACAAGCCCTTCCCACCCAGAACAGGTAATCCAATTCCAACCAGTAGATATGTTTAAACAATGTGTCCATTTACACTTGAATGGCTACACCTTTTGATAGCCTAAGGGCAAGTTTACATGTAAACAAGTTTGCTCTCAATTCCAGGACAGAAAAAAAAAATTATTAGATTTTAAAATTTATTCTTAGAAGTGTAAAAGTTTATTAATTAAAAAAAACAACAAAAAAGGAGACTAAAAAACCTGATGATCAAGATAGTAATTTAATAATAAAAAAATGTTATAAAAACAAAAAAACAAAACAAAAAACCCTGATGAACAATAATAATGGTTCATTGTAGTAGAGTCGGAGATATGGGAGGGGAGTGGACTGACGGTTCTGGGGGAAAGGGAGGGAGGAAGAGACTGAACATAAACTGTGCACCTATGGATGAGGACAATGGGGGGTGAGGAGGGGGCGGAGAGTGGGGTGGGAATCTGGTGGAAGGGGGAAGAAATGAGGAACCTTTGTAATAATATGAACAATAAAGATTGATTAAAAAAAATAAATAAAAATATGCTAAAAAATAAAATAAAATTTTAGTTAACACTTAAAAAAAAACCAACAAAAAAAAAAACCTTTAGTGCCATCAAGTTTAGTGGTAGCCAACTGGTGGCCATGAGGTCCAAAAATTGGCGACCTCAGATCAAGTTAACACATAAAATTAACCCCTCACAGGGACCCTAATCAAAGGTCACCCGAATGAAGAGTCACGCTGAGAAGGGGTGCTGTTGGGTGGAGGGACCTCAGGCAAGAACCTCAGTTCCCCTGTCAAATGAGGATCATGGTGCTCACCCAGCTTAGTGGATGCTTGTAAGATCCAAGAAGACGGTGCATGTTGAGGGCTTGGCAGTGGGCCTGGCATAGAGTAAGAGTCAGTAAATGGGCTTTTCCTCTTTTCCCTCCCAGCAAAGCCCCCAGCATCCTTCCCCCTCAGTCTCCTGCTCTCCAGGGAAGAGAGTCCAGCACAGGGTGCCCAGTGGGACTCAGCTTCTGCATGGGGTCCTGCTTCACTCAAACAGCTGAAGCAGTCAGCCCTGGGGTGTGGGTGTGGGTGGGAGTTGTGTGGTAGGGGTGGGATTATAGTGAAAACAGTGGATTCATCCCTTGGGATTATCAGAAAAATAGCCAGGCCACCTGCTGTTTAACCAGATGATGTGCTAGAGTTGCATGCAAAACTATGTCATGGGGTGTTTTCAAAATCTGCTTTTATGTAGATGCTATTTAAGTATAAATACTCTTGTTGTGAGTTATATAAATGTTAACGATGTACACATTAAAGTGATTAAGGAGAATGCCCGGTGTGGCTCAGTAGCTGAGTAGTGAACTATGAACCCGGAGGTCAAGGTTAGGTACAAGCCTAAAGTTGTGAGCTGGATCCCTAGTAGAGGGCATTTGGGAGGCAGCCAATAAATGATTCTCTCTCCTTAGTGATGTTTCTGTCACTTTCTCCCTCTCCTCTTCCTGAAATCAATAAAAGTCTTTAAAGAATGGAATGGTAAAGGAAATTTAGTATTTTAAAGTTTGCATGGCGATATTTTATGTATATATATTTATAATTTTTTAATTGTTTATTGTTTAAAATATGACATAAGTCTTCTTTTTCCCTCATTGTTTTCTCCTTTGCCGACCTCACCCACCAGGCACATGCCTTCACCACCTGCTATCTTTGTCCAACAGTTATGCACAAATGTACACATATAAGTCCTTTGGTTCATCTCTTACCCCGTCACCCTCACCTTCCTTCATAGGTTAGAAAGTTAGTTTGATGTTTCCATGACTCTGGATCCATTTTTGTTCATCAGTTTACGGTGTTTATTATATTCCACAAATGAGTGAGATCATGTGATATTTCTTTTTCTCTGATTGGTTTATTTCACTTAGCATAATGCTCTCCTGTTCAATCCACGCTGTTGCAAATGGTAAGAATTTCTCCTCCTTCTCCTTCTCCTCCTCCTCCTTCTCCTCCTCCTCCTCCTCCTCCTCCTCCTCCTCCTCCTCCTCCTCCTCCTCCTCCTCCTTCTTCTTCTTCTTCTTCTTCTTCTTCTTCTTCTTCTTCTTCTTCTTCTTCTTCTTCTATACAGCTTAGTATTTCATTGTGTAGTTCTGTCACTGTTTTCTAATCCACTCATCTGCTGAGGGGCACTTAGGTTGTTTCCAAATCATAGATATTGTAAATATATGAACCTAGGGGTGCATATATCCCCTCTGACTGGTGTTTCTGTTTTCTTGGAATGTATTCCTAGAAGTGGGAGAATTGGGTCAAATGGAAGTTTCATTTAAAAATTTTAGAGGAAATGGCATACAGTTTTCCCAAGGGGATATTTTTTTAAACAATCTTTGCCCTAAGGGGTTTGGCTGATTGGATAGAGTGCCGAATGAAGTGTCCTATGTTCAATTCTGTTCAAGGGCACATGCCCGAGTTTGTGGACTCAATCCCCAGTAGGGGGCTTACAGGAGGTAGCCAATCAATGATTCTCTCACTTCCTTGATGCCTCTATTTCCCTCTCCCTTCTTCTTTGAAATAAATAAAAATATGTTTGAAAAGTGGATTTCATTTTTTAGCGCAGATTTAAGTTCCCAGCAAAATTGAGCAGAAGGTAGAGAGTTCCTGTACACCTCTGCCCCTCCACACTCACAGCTGCCCCATTCTCCACGCCCTCCCCCCCTCCACTGTGCCAGGCATTTCTTACAACTGTTGGACCTGCACTGACAAATCCTGTCACTCACAGCTGTGTGGTTGCAGGTGTTTTAACTGCAGACAAATCCTATGATTCCCAGTGGAGGCAGCCTGGGTTGTGCTGTCCATTCCCAGGAGAGCTCAGCCACAGGCCTCAGCACTCACTCAAGTGCCTCCTGTCCTCACTGAGTCTGTTCAGTGGCGCTGTCTTCTCCATGTGACTCAGAGTTCCCCAGAGTCAGGTCGTGGCACACACACTGGGTGCTCAGGGGAGTCTGTGGGGAGAGTGACTGACAGGAGAAGGATGGGGGTCTAAAGGAAGGCTGTGCAGGCCAGGAACTCCACGTGGCAGCAATGGGCTGGCCACAGCTGGCCTCCTCACACCACCAAGGGCCACCTGTTGATTTGCAGATGTCTAAGGACCCATGATTGCTGCCTGGCCTCACAGTGCCTCTGGTTCTGCACACCACAGGATGTCAGACAATACAGGACAGAGCGATATTGGGGTCAGGGTTACTGAAGTGAGAGATTTAGGGGCGGGTGGTCATAAGGAGGTCATTGGAGGCGTGGAGAAGTGAAAAGGTGCCATGAGGGCAGGAATGGAAACAAGGAGACATGGTGTAGTCAAGGAAGGCACTTGCTATCTGGGAAGTTTTCTCTGTATAAAAACCTTGACTAAAAGCCGCAGCTGCCACAATGTTGACAGGGTTGCATGTGATTGGATGACTTTTATTTCTGACCCTGTCTCCAAGATCCCAAAGAGCTCACAGCATCCACCTACGATGCCTTTTGGGCTTGAAAATGTCGAACTCCCAAGGTTGATCCTTTCCCCCTATGCTCAGTTTATTAGATTTAAGCTTCTCCACCCAGTTTGCTGAGTTAATCCCATCTTTCCCAGAGCAGACCCACCCTTTTCCTCCTGGGCGGGACAGAAGATGAAATCTCTCCCTTTGCCCTCTAGGATGGCACTGCCTCCCCTCCAGCTTGTCTCCTTTGAGATCCTAAATTCAACCAAGGAAGAGTCCTTCCATCTTCCTTCTTTCCAAGAAAACCCCCCATCTTTTCCATGGCCCAGGGTCATTCTCAGGGTTCCTTAGGATGGCTCAGCACCCCCTTGCTCAGCCCTGACCCCTGCTTCTCATGGTCCTTCTGTCCTGACCTCCCTCAGAGAAGCCTTGGGGTCTAGGACAGCCACATCCTCAGTTGCCCACCACTTGCTCCCTGAGAAACTCACCTGACATAAAACCTCACTTGATGCCGGACTCATTTCCTTAGTTCCCCTGGGGATGGCACCAGTGTCTCTCAAGGGTGTTTTACCTCTGCAATGTTCTGATAACTCTGATGTGATCAAAGAACCCCAGCAACCATGCTCTCCGGTTTTGCTCTTTCCTATTAAACATCAGGAACGCATGACACCTTCACTGTCTCACACCTAGGATGATAACTATGGGCCATCAGTCAACTTCAGTCAGTGTCTGTGGAAGACTTCCATCTTGCCCCTCCCTCACTTTCTCTCAATCCATCCATCTGAAGAGGCAACAATTGCATTATTGGATTATTCGTAGGAAGTTCGCCCCAGGCTGCTTCAGGTGCCTGGTAGGATTAAGGGCTGGGGCTGAGGGTCTGATTGGATTCTAGTGTTTAAGAAGGTGTATAAAAACCCCAGGCATCAGAGCAGAGAGTCAGAGTGTTCCAGGTCTGCAGTTAGTGCTGCTGTTCTCCACCAGGTCTGAGATCTGAGCCCCTGCCAACCAGATCAACAGCAGGTAAATTTCCAACCTCAGCAAGGCTGCTGGCCTCAAGTGCTTCCCTTCTTTTGTTTTGTTTTGTTTTATTGACAAAGAGATTGAAATCATTGATTTTGCCTCTAAGTGTAGTTTTGCCTGGATTTCCAACATTTGGGTTTGTGCTTTGGTCTATTTATAAATGTGTAACCAAGCTGATTCCTCAACCCCTCCCCTCCCCCCTCCCACGCCCCTAATGAAAACATCTTAACTGTGGTTTTATTTCTAGAAATTTTAAATATTAGGTTTATGTCCATAGATTGGTCTGAAATTTTCCCCAAAAAAGGTGGGAGTCAGCTTTTAGGCCCTTGAATACCTACTTCCCAGGCAGACTGGAATGAAAGATGTGGGTGTTTCTGAGATGCTTGTCTTGGGGCCTGCAGGGGAACTACCCTGTTTCCCCAAAAATAAGACAGTGTCTTATATTAACTTTTGCTCCCAAAGATGAGCTAGATCTTATTTTCAGGGGATGTCTTATTTTTCCATGCGCTAGGTCTTATTTTTGGAGCATGTCTTATTTTTGGGGAAACACGGGTATGCATCTGTGGTCACCTAGCCCAGGGTCTCGCCATTGCCAGGCAGTGGCTTTGGCCCTGAGTTGATTCCTGTGAAAATGGGGAGTCAGAGGATGGGGCTCAAAGGCTTGGCCTGATGAGGATGTCTTGTTCCCTGGACTTTCCCACAGGATTCCTTTGGAGCACCTTGAGGATGAGCATCAGGACCCCACCCACACTCCTGCAGCTGGCAGGGGAGAGCCTGCTGAGGGACCAGGCCTCGGCCATCGCAGCTCTGGAGTACCTGCCCGCCGAGCTCTTCCCGCAGCTGTTCATCCAGGCCTACCGTGGTAGACGTCTCCAGGTCCTGAAGGCGATCACACAAGCCTGGCCCTTCACTGTCCTCCCTCTGGGCGGCCTGCCACACCTGTCACTAGACGAGGTCTTTAAAGCCGTGTTGGATGGGCTTGACCTTCTGCTTGCCCAGGAGGTTCGCCCCAGGTAAGGCTGCTCCAGGTGCCTGGTAGGGTCCTGGCCATCCTGGAGACAACGGGCATCAGGGCGTGTGGAGGGTCTAAGGGGGTCCCAAGGTTTGTGAAGGTGTCAGTGAGGCTCAGGGAGCCCTGGCACACTGCTGAGCTCACCATAGGAACTGGAGGACTCCCGACTGGGAGAGTCATCTGCAAAACGCACTGCCTCCTCCCAGTGGTATTTGAAGGTAGAAGTGTGGAGCAGGAGTGATAGAAAGAGATGAGCAAAGCAGAGGGAGAGGAGGGTAAGGGCGAAGTTGACCTTGGGATTCTAAGTAGAAGCTCACGGTTGGGGTGCAGTCTGATTGCTGCCTCAACCCAGATGCTCAGTCTCATTCTTCCCTGCTTTCGTTCTGTTGTTATTTTTCAAAAAATATTTTTATTGATTTCAGAGATGAAGGGAGAGGGATAGAGAGAAAGAAACATCAATGATGAGAGAGAATCATTAATTGGCTGCTTCCTACATGCCCCCTACTGGAGGGATTGATCCTGCAACTCCCTCAAGTGCCCTTGGCTGGAATGGGACTTGGGACCCTTTAGTCCACAGGCTGAAGCTCTGTCCATGGAGCCAAACCAGCTAGGCCTCTGTCGTTATTATTATTATTTTTTTAAAACATTTTTTGTTCTTGATTTCAGAGAGGAAGGGAGAGATAGAGGTAGAAACACCAATGATGAGAGAGAGTCACTGATGGCCTGCCTCCTACAAATACTTCCCCTCTGCACTGGGCATTGAGCCTGCAACACAGGCATGTGCCCTGATTGGGAAGCCAATCATGACCTCCTGGTTCATAGGTAGATGCTCAATCACTGAGACACACTGTCCATAAAGCATCTTAGCCAATGCTCTGTTGACCTAAAAGAATCTCACTAATGTCCTGCTTTCCCCACAGGAGATGGAAACTGCGGGTGCTGGATTTAAGGAAACTGGGTGCAGACTTCTGGAGAATGTGGTTGGGAGACAGCACCCAGAAGCGATCACTGACAGGACCAGTGACTGTGCACAGGTCCAGCCCCAACATGGAGCACCCCTTAGCTCCCGTGGAGGTGTTCCTAGACCTTAACTTCAATGCAAGGGACAGGGATAAATTTTTCATGTACGTCATTCAATGGGCCCAGCAGAGGGAAGGGCTGGTACACCTGTGCTGCAAGAAGCTGAGGATTGCTGTGGTGCACTTCCACAGGGTGAGGCAGGTCCTGGATGCCGTGCAGCTGGACTGCATCCAGGAGGTGGAACTGAAGTGCACCTGGGACCTGCCCACCCTGGGGACCTTTGCTCTTTACCTGGGGCAGATGAGGAACCTGCAGAGACTCTCTCTCTCCCACATCCACATGTTTGCAGGGGAGGAGGATGATGAAGAAGAGGAACAGGAGGAAGAGGAGCAAGAGGAATCAGAGTGGGAGAGAGAGGAACAGCAATCCTTTCACCAATTCCTCTCTCAGATCCTCAGGCTGCAGCACCTCCGAGAGCTCCACATGGATTCTCCCTGCTTCCTCCTAGGCCGTCTGGACCAGATGCTCAGGTGAGCTGTGTAGCAGTGGTCACAGTCTTGGAATGTAAAGGAAGTGGTCTTGTTAGGTGCTTTGCGGGTGGTATCCCATGAGCACCTAAAGGAAGCATGTTTTAAAATCAGCCTGTCAGGGTGGGCAACAGAATTGGCACAATGGGGAACCCACCGAGCCTGGGTGTGTGAATTCTTTCTTAGGGAGAGATGTCTAAGTGCTGAAGACTTAGGGAGAGGGAGGGAGGAGGCAAAGCCAAATAGGATGGATCAATTCCCGGCATAAGCTCTGTGCCCACCAGCCATTGTGAGCACATGTGAGCCTGTGTCAGGTTCCCCAGCTGTCAGGCGGTCCTGGGCCCCAGGGAAGGTCATTGGTAGAAAGGACAGTCATGATTCCGCAGCCAAAGAGCGGCAGCGGAAAGCATTGCAGAGTGAGAGGTGGCTGCAGGGACGCAGGGATGTAAGTCACCTCTGCAGACTGGCCTTCCCAGATGTTGCTGCAGGATCTTGCCCAGGTCTGCTCTCTCTCTCCCTCTCTCTCTCTCTCTCTCTCCCTCTCTCTCTCTTTGTCCTTACCTGAGGACATTTTTCCCATTGAGTTTTAGAGAGTTGAAGAAAGAGGAAGAGAGAGAGAGAGAGAGAGAGAGAGAGAGAGAGAGAGAGAGAGAGAGAGAGAGAGAGAGAGAGAGACATTTATGTGAGAGTGACCCATGGATTGGTTGCCTTCTCTTCATGCCCCAATCAGGGCCAAGGGTTTAGCCTGCAAATGAGGTGCATGTGCTTGAGTGATATTCAAATGTGAGACAGGTCCATCTAAAGGCCAACACTCTATCCACTGAGTCATACCAGTTAGTACAATGTGTGTTCTTTACGTCTTACATGAGCGAGCCTTGTGTGGCCTAGATATCTGGTGCCCAGAGACAAGCAGTGGTCAGAAGGAAGCCTGAGTTGACAGCACCCTTGGTGCAGGCATGCCCACCTTGACCTAGACATTGTCAGGCACTCTGAGTATGTTCCCAGGGTTTTTCATATGTCCAGTCACCCTCCAGAGTGCAATGCTCTGCTTGGCAGCTGAGGCAATGAAGCTCAGGGGATGTCGCGATCTTGACCCAGCCTAAAAGGAGGCTGGGAGTCCTGGATGTTTCCCTTCATCAGATTGTCAGGACAACCCTTGGCTTGGACAAATCCATCTTCTGCCCCTGGAGGAACTCCTCTACCAGATGCCTCCATCCTCAGGAACTAAAGGCTCTTTCTCTCCCCAGGTGCCTGCAGACCCCCTTGGACAGACTCTCCATAAAATATTGCCTGCATTTGATGCATTCAGACCTGATACACCTGTTCCAGTGCCCGAAAATAAGGCAGCTGAAGACTCTGCATCTGTTTGCTCTCAGCCTCAAACATTTTAAGCCAGAGCCCCTCCGAGCTCTGCTGGAGGCTGTGGCACCCACCCTCCAGGACCTGGGCTTAGACAACTGTGCCATGGTGGACTCCCAAGTCGAGGCCATCCTGCCTGTCCTGAGCCGCTGCCACCAGCTCAGGGAGTTCACCATCTCTGAGAACAACTTCTCCTTGGCCACCGTGGGGAAGCTGCTGCGCCACACAGCCGGGCTGCGCAGCTTAGAGCTGGAGCTGTACCCCGTCCCCCAGGAGTGTTACACGACCCAGGGGACTGTCAAGAAGGACAGACTTGCCCTGGTCCGGGCTGAGCTAAAGAGGATTCTGAGGGAGTTAGGACAGCCCAGGATCATCTCTCTTCGCACCAATTACTGTGGTCAATGTGACAACAGTAAATTTTATGACGTTGAGTTTTTATAACTTGTAGCCGAGCTGTGTCCCTATAATGACCCTCTTCAGTGGGAACACTCAGCAAAAGCTTTGTTCTAGGCCCTTGGATGCTCTAATATAGAACCGGGGTGCATTATACATGTTTCGGGTTCATGCTCACTGTGAATGGGGAAAGGAAGGGACCCAGCACCGGTCCACAATGACCAGGACAAATGTTGGGGAATTCATGGGACCTCAGGGGTAAGGTCCAACAATCAGAAACATGAATGTGATTTGCTTGGGGAGGGGGTCAGAATTTGGGCTTGAGCTTCTTGTGAAGGAGTGAATCCTGCGGTGGTTTATTGTAAACCAATGATCAGAAATAAAGAATTTCAAAGGCAACCTTCTCGTCCTCTTGCATGTGTTCTCCTGTCCCTCCAGTTTACACCTCAGGACCCTGCAGTTACTTATTTAAAAAAAAGGTGGGGAGGGCTCAGGATCAGAACCTGGAACTGCTGGGATGTGGTTCGGCTGCAGGGCTCAGCTCCATGTTATCCCTCCCTCCAGGCCTTGTCTTCTCTCTGGGCATCTCTGACCTCCTTGTGGGTGGACACAATGGGACTTGCTAGGTGGCCCACCAACCCCTGAGGTGAAGGGGACCTCTGCTGGCTCTGACCTTGGATGCCAGTGTTCCCTATGGTTCTGCAGGTGGACTCACAAATCTCAGGACTCATGCTAGGAGGGGTTCAAGGACAAGGCATGGCCCTCAGTTTCAGAAGGGCTAATCCACACGCAGAGGCACCGAGCCCCTGAGCCATCCAGCCCATGCCTGTCAGCCTGGTGCAGAGGAAGTCACCTGCTTATGGCCAGGAATATCATCCAAATTCCTTTGAGCAAAATACTTTTTCTGAGGATTCCTACACACACGAAATATAACATGGGAAGCGGTGGGGAGGTCATAACCATGAGGGATTGGCTTATGCCCATTACACCTACCGCCTCTTTATGGAGGTAGACAGAGAGCATGTTCTGAAACCAGCCTGTCAGGAACGGTGCAGACACACTGCACAAGTGAGTGAACTTCTTCCCTATGCTCAGTCGCTGTATTAGGTTGTGTGGCCCCGAAATAGCCAACAGGGACACATGGACACAGGTAGGAGATTTATAAAGATAGGCTCCCGCCTTCAGTCCCAATACCTGTCCTCTACAAGCTGGAGAACCTACAAAGCCAATGGTATAACTGAGGCCAAGTCCAAGTTAGGCTTGAGAACCAGGGGAGCCCATATGGGAAGCCCCAGTGTGAGGCCATAGGCCTGAGAATAAAGGGCAGCAGGTGCACACCCAGGAGGTTGATGCCCTGACAACCAGGAGTCTATGTTCACCATCAGCTAAAACCAATGAAGAGAGTTCTTCCTTCCTTCCCCTTTCTATTCCACTTGGGCCCCCAAGAGATTGGAGGAAGCCCAGCTGCACTGTAAGATCTCCTTACTCATGCGCTGAATCAAAGCTAACCTGGTCCATTCCCACCCAGAATGCCTTTACCAGCTACTTGGTCAAACTTTAGTGCCATCAAGTTCAGTGGTTGCCAACTGGTGGTCCATGAGGTCCAAAAGTTGGGCCTAAGGGGGACCCAAGTTTTTTGAAGGAGCCAGTGAGGTTAGGGAGCCCTGGCACCCTGCTGAGCTCTCTGGGGTGTGGCACTGGGCAGAGGCACCTCCAAACTGTGCCCTGCCTCCTCCCAGTGGTGTTAAAGGTACACGAAGTGCCGAGCAGGAGGGATGGAAGGAGATGAGCAAAGCAAAGCAGGGGCCAAGGGAGATGCTGACTTTCTCAAAGAAATTGTTGAAATATAGATAATGTATCTATCTATCTATCTATCTATCTATCTATCTATCTATCTAAAAGTCTAAGCGACAGTTATGACTGATTGCTATGAGGTGCACTGACCACCAGGGTGCAGATGCTCAATGCAGGAGCTTCCCCTTGGTGGTCAGTGCACTCCCAAAGCCAACCTCCCACAGTCCTTCCCCCTGGCTAGCCGGGCATGATCGCCTGATAGGGTCTAGTGAGATGGCCCAATTGGCCTTATCGCCGGCCAAGCTGAGGGACCCCACCCATGCACAAATTTGTGCAACAGGCCTCTAACTATGAAGATCTAAGTAGCCCAGAAAGGTTGGCTACACCCTTTGCTAATGGAGGAAGGTGCAGGTAGGCCAGTTTCCTGCCAGTAGCCATCTTGAAGGAATGTGACAAATTTTACATTTGAATAGCTTCAACTTCCCCAGCAGAAAAAAGTTATATTCCTTTTAAAAAGTCAGTTGGCTCGGCCAAAACTTGTTTTGCTAGCTAAAAACAGTTTTTCCAGCTGCAGCAAACTCTTCAAGAAAAAATGTGACTAGTTTGAAATCAGCTTCCTACAAGTAGCCATCTTTAAAGAATGTGGTAATTTACATTAGAAAAGACCAAACCTGCCAAAGCCGGTTTGGCTCAGTGGTAGAGCGTCGGTCTGTGGACTGAAAGGTCCCAGGTTCGATTCTGGTCAAAGGCATGTACCTTGGTTACGGGCACACCCCCCGTAGGGGGTGTGCAAGAGACAGCTGGTTGATGTTTCTCTCTCATCGACGTTTCTCTCTCATCGACGTTTCTAGCTCTCTATTTCTCTCCCTTCCTCTCTGTAAAAAAAATCAATAAAATATATTAAAAAAAAAAAAAAAAGAAGAAGAAAAGACCAAACCTGTTTTGCCATCCAGACATGTAATTTTGGCAGCTTAAAATTCTGGAAGTTTGCTTCTTTAGGAAAAATGTAGAGGACAAAATTAAAGCTATTCACTGATTGTGTCTTGTATTTTTGAAATTTATTTTTAAAATTATAAAGGTAATACTAACCTAGAAATGCTAAATATTTGACTTGCCAGCTCTAAAAGTTCAAAGTTCAATTCAAATTGAGAGAAATTATATATGATAGATCCTCCCTTCCTCCAGTTGATGGACAGACATAAATCCCACCTGTGGCTAGACATTCCTGAGCACTGAACTACCAATCAGCATCTGCCAAATACCCTAAGCCGCACATTCCTAATCCCTAGGTCCCTAATCACCAGTCAGCAGGTGCTGAGTGCCCTAAGCCCCGTTCCCTATCCTTAAAGGTGCATGTACCCTGGCCCTCATTCTCTTCTGCCCCTCTCTCTGGAAGCAGCTGGCAGTGGTACTCTTCTCTTCAATAAAGCTGTGCCCTGGCAGCCCGGTCTCAGGTCCCTTCTCTATTTCACCTTTCAGTATAATTGTGATAATTAAATGCCTGAAGTATTAAAAAAATTTTTTTGAAGAACATAAAATGTTGTGTTTCCTCTATTAATTAGGAATTCAACATATGTTACTAATTGGCCAAATTAAATAAGAAGGATTAATTCTGTGATTCCCAACTGACATTTTTAATACTAAAATCAGTTTATAATTAATTGATATCTTAATATAATTATAAAAAGTATTATAATCTTTAAATCATTTATATATTTTTATGTGGTTTTTTTTTTCCAAGTTAAAGTTTCAAAACTATCACCAACGGATAATTTAAGGACATTTCACAGGCCCTGAAATGTTTTCAAGAATTAGTTCTCTCTTTTAAGGAAATATTTTTGAAATTTAACCTATCTTAAATACTTGAAATTGCAAGGAAACCTTTATCAAATACAAATTAATAAGTATACTTTATCTAAAATGTTATGAAGGTTTTGGCCTCTACGGAGGGCAAAATATTTCTTAAAATCCAACAGCAAAATTTCAAGAGGAGCGGCTGCGGGTTTACGCAGCGCCCGTGTGCCCGCTGCCTCCTCCGTGCCATTCCACAGGCCGGGCATGGGCGCGGGCGCGGGCACCATGAGCTTCCTGGGGAGCCCGGTCCGCGCCTATGACTTTCTGCTCAAGTTCCTGCTGGTGGGCGACAGCGAAGTGGGCGAGGGCGAGATCCTGGTGAGCCTGCAGGGCGGCGAGGCTGAGTCCCCCTACGGACACCGGCGGAACATTCCCCTCGTCCCATCCCCGGGCACCGCCAGTCTTCCACCAGATATTTCAGTTCAGCTTCAGACACGTTCAGCCTAACCCATGTGGCTCCGTGGCTGAGCGTCAACCCATGTCCCAAGAGGTCACCAGTTCAAGTCCTGGTTGGAGCGTGCAGGAGGCAGCCCATCTGTGTTCCTCTCACCTATGTTTCAACCTCTCTCCTTCTCTCTCTCTAAAGCCAATAGAAACATTTAAATAAAAAAAGATACATTTCTCAAAGGCAAAAAAAAAAAAAAAAAAGAAAAATTTCAAGAGGAAATTTAAAAGACAAGCCTTTAGCCACCTGCATTTTTAATTAAGTTGGAGCTGGAGTGACCTTTGTGCCTTGTGAATCAGTTGTAAACATTTCCTAAATGTGCTCTGCTTTGCCTTTTCAATCAAAGATCCCTTCTTCAATTACTTAATAAATTACCTTTTTAATTTATAATCAAGGTTTCATATAATTTCATCTAAATGAAAAGGCAATGTTTTTATAAACAATTAAACTCTAATAAAGCCACCAGAAAAAGCAAGTGAGATTTCTGTTTGTCTGCAATGTCATTTTGAGTGTCTTTTTGGTTTGCTCTTTCCTTGTTTATTTGACAATAAACAAACCATCTTTTCTGTCAAAGAACAGTTTGACGGCCACCATATTGGACTGTCTGACTTGGCAGCCATCTTATTGGCCCATGGCTTGCCACTCCCTGGGGGCCTCCATCTTGAAACAACAAAGGCCAACCCCTGATAAAGTCATCTAAACCAGTCCCTAAGACTTCCCATGATTCCTCTGCATTTGCAAGTAAGCCAAAGATTGTACTCTTTGAAAATATAATTCTAAATATAATAGAAAGAAAAATGTGAAAAATTTGAAATCTCTTCCCTATATATTTGCAATGAAAATGGAAGATTGCTAAAGTATTAAATCTGACAGTAAAAGAGTGGTCACCCTTACTGTAAAGTGACTTGCAATATAGCTAGCTCAAGCAACAGTCCTACATACTGTTTGCTGCAAAGGAAGACAAATGTTCTTAAGTGAAACACTCTGAAGCCTGAAAATTGTTCTGGAAGGAAATAGGGAAAAAGTTGTCTTCAAATATCTGAAGAACTGTAATGAGAAGTCCATATATTTGTCTCATAAACTGAAGTAAGTAATTTGGGTTTTTGCCTCCCTGACAAAGTTTATGTTAAGTTACTCATATTTTTATGCAAAATATTAAAATTAAAAGTTATCAAGACTGCATTGTAAAATTTCCAAAAGTGTTCTGATATTTAAATTTAAAAGGGGTGGGGGGAGAGAAGAGTAATATCCTGTAGGTAAATTACATCCAGAAATGTTTACTTTGAAAATGACTTTTCAGATTATGAGATTGATGCACTACCTACCGTGCTAACGAGGCACCTTGAAAATGATGTTTCATTTGTAATGCTAATAGCAAGACAAACATAGAAAAAAATCACATGGTATCAAAATAAGCCAAAGGGAAATTGTTTGGGCAAAAAACAAAAAAGAATCCCAAGTCACACTTATAGAAAAGATTTCTTCATTAATCTTTGGTTGAGAATGTATTTGTATATTTCCAAAAAACTCTAAGCCTATGTGGATTTCTGCAACAACGGATCCCAGAGAGGAAATTTCCAGCCACAGAAATAGCAATGGCCCCCAAGAAAAGAGGAGGAACGGTCCAGAAATGAAGATGGTGACGATGCCACCACCATGTCTGATAGGAACCCAAGGCTGAGTTCTCCAAGTCACTGCCATTGATAGAGGAGGAAACAGGCCCTGGAGAGTGAATGGTCTGAGCTCACACTGCGAATGAGTCTCCCAGCTGAGATTTGAACCCAAGCCCGGTGGTCCATGGGCAGCCTGGCTCAGACTTGTGAAAACTGCCTCTCCCTTCCAGGAAATGCCAGCAGAAGCCCAGCTCAGTTTTCACAGAGCATGTCTGGGTCTAGTGTGTGCTTAGCTCATGTGTCCACATGTGTTTGCTTGGTAGTGATTTCATACAGCAGACAAATTCCATGATGCCTAGTGGAGGCAGCCTGGGCTTGTGCTGCCTCCTGGGCACCCCCTTACTCCAGGCATCAACACTTCCTCTGGGGCCTCCACTCACTCCTCCCTACACTGTCTGATCAGTGCCACTGTCTTCCCCTCCTGACTCAGAACTCTCCAGAGTCAGAGCCTGGCCCCCACACCGGATACTCAGGAATATCTGTATTATGCGTGGTTGACAGTAGAAAGATGGGGGCCTAATGGAGTCTGTGCAGGATAAGAGTTCCACATGGCAGCAGTTGGCTTCCCTCAGACCACCAAGAGCCACACATTCATTCCACACACATGGTCTAAGGAGCCATGATTACACCCTGGCCTCACCGAGCATTTCATCCAGCAGGCCAGAGTGATGTTAGACAAGAATAGAACAGAGAGATAGTGAGGGACAGGCTTATTGAAGGGGGACTTGAGGGGCTGTTTGTCAGCAGGGAGGTCATCGGGGGTGTGGTGAAGTGAAAGGGTGCCATGAGGGCAGGATTGGGGACAATGGGGACACAGGGCTGTGAGGGAAGGCCCTTGCTATCTGGGCTTAGTTCTCTGGGGAAGAACCTCTTCCCTTTGGTAAATGTCCGCTGGAGGCAGCAGTCATGTTGACAGGGTTACCTGTTACTGGCCCACGATAATTTCTGTCCCTGGCTCAAACATCTCAAAGAGCCCACAACTGTGTCTTTTGTGCCCTTCAGGCTTGAAAATGTGTAACTCCGCTTTCCCACTAATCCCATTCTTACGTTCAATTGTCTCCACCGGGTTCACGGAGCTAATCTCATCTTCCCCAGAGCAGACCCACCCTTTTCCTCCTGTGCGGGACAGAGATGGCATTCTCTCCTTTTGCTCTCTAGGATGGCACTGCCTCCCCTCCAGCTTCTCGACTTTTAGATCCTGAATTCACCCAGAGAAGAGTCTTTCCATCTCTCTTCTTTCCAAGAAAAATCCCAATCTTTTCCATGGCCCTGGGTCATTCACAGGGTCTCATTAGGATGGCCGAGCGCCACCCTGCCCAGCCCTGACCCCTGCCTCTCATGGTCCTTCCCTCAGAGAAGCCTTGTGGTCTGAAGGGCCACCCACATCTTCAGTCGCTCACTCCTTGCTCCCTGAGGAGCTAATGATCTGCTACGTCCCCTGACAGAATACCCGAGTGACAACTAAATGCATGGACACATTTTTCCTTCCTTGGGGATGCCCCATTGCCTTCTGGGCTGTGGCTAATTTGGATTACTTTGAGGTGGCCAACGACCTCCCAGCAGCCACGTTCTCAGGTTGTGTTTTTCCTGTCTAAAGTCAGGAACCCATTTCACCCTTCACTGTCTCACACCCAGGATGACAACTTGTAGGCCATCATTGCAGTTCAGTCAGTGTGTAAGGAAGGAATCAATGGCTGAAGCCACACCCTTGCCCCTCTCAAACTTAATATTTCCTAATCCCATCCCATTTCTGGGTTAATCCATTAATATGGAGAAAGGCAATAATCCAATCAAGTTGGGGAGGGTGTGTAGACCAGGGGTTCTGATTGGACGTTAGCAATTGAGAAGACCTATAAAAACCTCAGGCACCAGAGGGGAGAGTCAGAGTCCTTCAGCTCTGCAGTCAGTGCCCTGGTTCTCCACCAGGTCTGAGATCTGAGCCCCAGCCAACCTGGGCCCAGCAGGTAAGGTACCGACCTCAGCTAAGGAGTCAGCCCCATGGTGGCACGAAGCCTAACCTGGCATATTCTTCCTTTTTTCCAACCTTTATTTTTTTTAAAAAAATGTATTTAATTGATTTCAAGAAGAAAGGCGAAGGAAATTGAAACAGCAACATTGAGAGACAATAATTGATCAGGTTCCTGCTCAAGACTGCTCTGGAGATAGGGACCAAAATGTGGCCATTCTTGCCATTTGCATCTGGACTACAGTTTATTTTTTTAAATATCTAAACAAGCTGATTCCCTGACCCCCAAGGCCTCCTGCCTCGCCTCCCCAGTGAAAACATCTTAACTGTTAACTGTAGGGGGTTTTAGTTTTGGACAGTTTTAAAAATATATATATATTTTATTGATTTTCTTACAGAGAGGAAGGGAGAGAGATAGATAGCTAGAAACATCGATGAGAGAGAAACATCGACCAGCTGCCTCTTGCACATCCCCTACTGGGGATGTGCCCTCAACCAAGGTACATGTCCTTGACCGGAATCGAACCTGGACCTTTCTGTCCACAGACGGACGCTCTACTGCTGAGCCAAACCGGTTTCGGCTGGGACAGTTTTAATATTTAGTATATGTCCCTAGATTGATCTGAAACTTTTCTGCCCAATAAGGTGGGGATCAGCATTTAGGCCCCTGAGCACCCACTTAGTAGTCAGACTGGAATGAGAGATGTGGGTGCTTCGGAGATGCTTGTCCTGGGGCCTGCAGGGGAGCTATGGCTCTGAGGCCACGGAGCCCAGAAAGGGTCTTACTAAACCGAGACTGTCCCCATTGCCATGCAGTGGCTTTAACCCTGAGGTGATTCCTCTGAGGCCCTGAATACATGGAAGGCAGTGCCAGGGCCTGCCTTTAGCCACGTTGCAGGCGGAACCCCAGGAGGCCCCGAAGTGGACCTCGGTCTGGGTCCCCATGCAGAGAAATGGGGAGATTGGTTGGAGAGCATTGGGATTATTGGTTGACTGTCTGCCGGGAGTTTCTAATATAACGAGGAGTTTTTATGAAAGGGAATGGCCTTGGGTAAGCCCAGCCATGTCACCAGGAAATCAGTCAACATAGAGGTACCAGTTAAGGTTTAGATCCTGCCTGAATTGTTCAGGTACAGAAACTGGCGAAAATGGAATGACTATCGCCAACTGGGCGGAGAAACATGGATGCTTGAAGCATAGACGGCTGCTACCTGAGTACCACATGGGAGCACAGGGGACCTAGGTTCCTTTGGTGCAGAATTTGAGAGCTTGATCTTCACAGGAGTTGTCCGGATCATTTCAAATTTCAAGAGTCTGAGCAATGCAACAACTATGTCCGGACACTTCCCAAATACACATTTAACTCAATGGGGCTGTGAATAAATACTTATATATGCTTCTTGGAGGTCTGTGTACTATGTGACAGCCAGAAAATAGCATTTTTTTTTTTTAAATAGAAAATTCCAGGGTTTCTCTCTCTTACCCCAGCAAGTTCAAAACTGTTACATGAACATTAATGTTCGGTGCTACCAAGAGAAGGTTTATGTAGTAAAGGCTTATGTTGGGCCTGAAAAAAAAAAAAAAATAGAACAGAGTGTTAATCAGGGACAGGCTTACCGAAATGGGAACTTTGGGGGTACAGGTCATAAGGGAGATCATTGGCCCTGAGTTGATTTATTTGAGGGATGGGGAGACAGACAATGGGGGTGCAAATAATTGGCCTGACAAGGATGTCTTGTTCCCTACTCCTTTCCGCAGAATTCCTTTCTGAGCACTTTGAAGATGAGCATGCAGACCCCGCCTACACTCCTGGAGCTGGCAGGAAAGCGCCTGCTGAGGGACCAGGCCTCGGCCATCGCAGCTCTGGAGCACCTGCCCGCCGAGCTCTTCCCGCCTCTGTTCATCCTGGCCTACCATAGTAGACAACACCAGCAGTCCCTGAAGGCAATGACCCAAGCCTGGCCCTACCAGGTCCTCCATCTGGGTGGCCTGATGCGGTGGCCTCGGGTCAAGGTCTTAAAAGCCGTGTTGGATGGGCTTGACGTTGTGCTTGCCCAGGAGGTTCGCCCCAGGTAAGGCTGCTCCCGGTGCCTGGTAGGGTCCTGGGCATCCCGGAGACAAAGGGGGTCAGGGCATGTGGAGGGCCTAAGGGGGACCCGAGTTTTCTGAAGGTGCCAGTGAGGGTAGGGAGCCCTGGCACCCTGCTGAGCTCACTGGAGAGTGGAGCACTGCCTACTGGGCAGAGGCACCTCCAAACTGTGCCCTGCCTCCTCCCAGTGGTAGTTAAAGGTACACGAAGTGCTGAGCAGGAGGGATGGGAGGAGAGGAGCAAAGCAGAGGGAAGAGGAGGGCAAGGGAGACGATGACCTTGAGAATCAAAGTGAAGGTCAGGGTGAGGGTAGAGTCTGATTGTTGCTTCAACTCAGATGCTTAGTCTCATTCTGACCTGCCCTCATTCAGTGGATCTTTAAAAAAAAACAAAACATTTTTTTAAATTGATTTCAAATTGGAAGGGAGAGGTAGAGATAGACATCTCAATGATGAGAGATAATCATTGATCTGCTGCATACCACACACACACAGACACATGCACATACACACATGCACACACACACGCACATACACTGGACATTGAGTGTGCAACATAGGCACATACCATGACTGGGGATTGAACTGTGACTTCTTGGTTCATAGGTAGATGCTCTGAGATACACTGTCAGCCAATGTCACGTAGACCTGAATGAATCTAGATTAATGTCCTGCTTTCCCCACAGGAGGTGCAAACTGCGGGTGCTGGATTTAAGGAACCTGGGTGCAGACTTCTGGGGAATGTGGTGTGGAGACAGTACCCAGAAGCACTCATCGATGGTACCAGTGGCTGTGCACAGGTCCAGCCCCAACATGGAGCACCCCTTAGCTCCCGTGGAGGTGTTCCTAGACCTTAACTTCAATGCAAGCGACAGGGAAAAGTTTTTCATGTACGTCATCCAATGGGCCCAGCAGAGGGAAGGGCTGGTACACCTGTGCTGCAAGACGCTGAAGATTGCTGTGGTGCCCTTCCCGAGGCTGAGGAAGGTCCTGGATGCAGTGAAGCTGGACTGCATCCAGGAGGTGGAAGTGAACTGCATCTGGGACCTATCCACCCTGGGGACGTTTGCTCTTTACCTGGGGCAGATGAGGAACCTGCAGAGACTCTCTCTCTCCTACATCCAACTTTTGAGTGACGAGGATGAGGATGAAAGTGAAGATGAAAATGAGGAGGAGAATATAGAAGAGGAGGAAGAACTGGAGGAAGAGGGTCTGGAGATGGGAGAGGAAGACGAGTCAGAGAGGGAAGAGCAGGAGCAAGTGGAAGAGGAGCAGGAGTGGAATGAGGAAGAGGAGTGGCAGAGGGAAGAGCAGGAGGACCAGGAGGAGCAAGAGGAGCAGGAGGAGGCAGAGGAACAGGAATCCTTTTCCCAATTCCTCTCTCAGATGCTCAGGCTGCAGCACCTCCGAGAGCTCAACATGAATTCCCCCTCCTTCCTCCGAGGCCGTCTGGACCAGATGCTCAGGTGAGCTGTGTAGCAGTGGACACAGTCCCTGGATATTAAGGGAGTGGTCTTGTTAGGTGCTTTGAAGGGTGGTATCCCATGAGCACCCAAAGGAAGCATGTTTTAAAATCAGCCTGTCAGAGTGGGTAACAGTACTGGGTCAAAGAGGGACTCAGCGACCCTGGGTGTGTGAATTCTTCCTTAGGGACAGATGTCTAAGTGATGAGGCCTTAGGAAGAGGGTTGGGAGGAGGCAATGCCACATCAGTTGGAGCATTTTCAAACAATAGCTCTGTGCCTACAAGCCATGTGAACACACGTGAACCTCTCGCAGATTCCCCATCTGACATAGATGGTCCTGGGTACCAGGAAGGTCATTAGTAGAAAGGACAAGCATGGTTCCACAGCTAAGAAGCGGGCGTGGAAAGGATTGCAGAGTGACAGTGGTTTGTAGTGATGTATGGATGGAAGTCGCCTCTGCACACTGGCCTCCCCAGTTGATGTTGTAGAATCTTCCTCTGGTTTACTCTCTCCCTATTCTTTAAATCCTCAAAGAAGGAATTTTTTTTCCATTGATTTTTAGAGAGTGAGAATGAGAGAGAGAGAGAGAAATACGATGTGAGAGAGAAATGATTTGTTGCCCTCAGCACATGCTTCAAACCCAGGCCGGGCATTGAAACTTCAATTGAGATCTGTACCCTTGACTGTGAATCAAACCTGAGACCCTTGGGTCCAAAGGGAAAGCTTTATCCACTGAGTCAAACAGGCTAGGCCACTTGAGTTCCCTATGAATTAGAATCTCGAGTGATCCAGATGTCTGGTGCCTGGAGCCAAGCAGTGGATAGAATGGAGCCTGAGTTGACAGGATGGTTGGTTTTGTCTCCCAATCATAAGGTGCAGGGATGTCCACCTTGACCTAGACACTGTCAGGCTCTCTGAGCAGTTTCCCGGGGTTTCCCTTCTGTCCAAGCACCCTCCAGCATACAGTGCTCTGCTTGGCAGCTGAGGAAGGAAGCTCTGGAGAAGTGGTGAACTTGACCCAGCCTAAAATGAGTCTGGGCTTCCTGGATGTTTTCCTTCATCACATTGTCAGGACAACCCTGGGCTTGGACAAATCAGTCTTCTCCCACATGGAGGCCGCCTCTATCTGCCCTCCCCCTCAAAAACCCCCTCCTCCCCCCGTCCCCAGGAACTAACCGTTCTGTGTCTCCACAGGTGCCTGCAGACCCCTTTGGAAAAATTTGCCATAAGTCATTGCCAGCGCCTGACCCATTCAGACCTGACACACCTGTTCCAGTGCCCGCACCTCAGGCAGCTGAAGTGCCTGCGTCTGTATTGTGCCAGCCTCGCTGACTTTAGTCCTGAGCCCCTCCGAGCTCTGCTGGAGGCTGTGGCACCCACCCTCCGGGACCTGGGCTTAGACAACTGTGCCATGGTGGACTCCCAAGTCGAGGCCATCCTGCCTGTCCTGAGCCGCTGTCACCAGCTCAGTTTCTTCACCATCTCTGAGAACCGCCTGTCCTTGGCCACCGTGGGGAAGCTGCTGCGTCACACAGCCGGGCTGCGCAGCTTAGAGATGGAGCTGTACCCCGCCCCCCTGGAGTGTTACACGACCCAGGGCACTGTCAACCAGGAGAGACTTGACAAGATCCAAGCTGAGCTGACGGGAATACTGAGGGAGTTAGGACAGCCCAGGTCCATCCTGCTTGTCACCAAGGATAGTGGCCACAGGGAATATTATGATGTGGCATTTTCATATCAGGGAGCCCGTGCTGTGCCCCTGTAATGACATGCTCAGTGGGAGCACCTGAGCTTCTCTCTGGGCTTTGGAAGCTGAAACCTCGGACCTGGGGGCACTATACAGGGGCCACTCCATGTTTCAGGTTCATACTCAGTGTGAATGGGGAAAGGGAGGGACACAGCCTGGGTACAGGATTGCAGGGGCAAAGGACGGGAGTTCATGGGACCTCAAAGGCTAAGTGTCCTACTATCAGAAACATGAATCTCATTTGCGTGAGGAGGGGGCAGAATTGGGGCTTGAGCTTCTTGTGTGGGAGTGAATCCTGGGGTGAATGATTGTAAAGGAATGATGAGAAATAAAGACAATTTCAAAGGCAACCTTCTGGTCCTCTTGCTTGTATTCACCTGTCTCTGCAGTTCACACCTCAGGTCCCTGTAGTCATTGATGAAAAAAGTGGGGAGGGCTCAGGGTCAGAACCTGGAGTGATGGGATGTGGTTCAGCTGCATTGTTCAGTACTATGTTATCCCTCCCTCCAGGCCTTCTCTTCTCTCTGGGCCTGTCTGACCTCCTTGTGGCTACTCAGTGGGGGGATACAATGAGACATGCTAGATGGCCCACCAACCCCTGAGGTGAAGGGGACCTCTCTGCGCTCTGACCCTGGATGCCAGTGTTCCCTATGGTTCTGCAGGTGGACTTACACATCCCAGGACTGTGCCAGGAGAGGTCCAGGGACAAGGCATGGCCCCCAGTTCCAGAAGGGCTCATCCACACTGCAGAGGCACAGAGTCCTTGGGCCATCCAGCCCATGCCTGTCAGCCCTGCGCAGAGGAAGTAACCTGCTTATGGACAAGAAAATTGTCCAAATTCCTTTGAGCAAAATACATTTTCTGAGGATTCCTACATCACATAAAATATAACCTGGCAAGCGGGGGCAGGTCATATCCATGGGGGATTGGCTTATGCCCATTACACCTCCTGCCTCTTTATGGAGCTAGACTAGAGAGCATGTTTTGAAATCAGCCTGTCAGGAAGGGGAGCAGACACACTGCACAAATGAGTGAGCCTCTTGCCTGTGCTCAGTCGCTGTATTAGGTAGTGTGGCCCCGAAATAGCCAACAGGGACACATGGACACAGGTAGGAGATTTATAAGGAAAGGCTCCCGCCTTCAGTCCCAATACCTGTTCTCTGCAAGCTGGAGAACCTACAAAGCCAATGGTATAACTGAGGCCAAGTCCAAGTTAGGCTTGAGAACCAGGGGAGCCCATATGAGAAACCCCAGTGTGAGGCCATAGGCCTGAGAATAAAGGGCAGCTGGTGCACACCCAGGAGTTTGATGCCCTGACAACCAGGAATCTATGTTCACCATCAACTAAAATCAAAGAAGAGAGAATTCATTCTTCCTTCCCCTTTCTAATCCACTTGTGCCCCCAAGAGATTGGAGGAAGCCCACCTGCACTGTATGATCTCCTTACTCATCTACTGAATCAAAAGCTAACTTGGGCAATTTACACCCAGAATGGTTTACCAGCTACTTGGTCAACCCTTAGCGCCATCAAGTACAGTGGTTGTCAACTGGTGGTCCATGAGGTCCAAAAGTTTGATGACCTCAGGTCAAGTTGACACATAAAATTAACCCCTCACTGGGACCCTAATTAAAGGGCACTCTAATAAAACTCACGCTGAGGAGGGGTGCTGTTGGGTGGAGGGACCTCAGGCAAGAACCTCAGTTCCCCTGTCAGATGAGGACATGGTGCTCACCCAGCTTAGTGGATGCTTGTAAGATCCAAGGAGATGGTGCATGTTGAGGGCTTGGCAGTGGGCCTGGCATAAAGTAAGAGTCAGTAAATGGGTTTTTCCTCTTTTCCCTCCCAGCAAAGCCTCCAGGATCCTTGCCCCTCAGTCTCCTGCTCTCCTCCTGAGGACAGGGCAGAGAGCCCAGCACAGGGTGCCCAGTGGGACTCAGCTTCTGCATGGGTCCCCCCTGATCCTGCTTCACCCAAACAGCTGAAGCAGCCAGCCATGGGTTGTTGGGTATGAGTGCAATTGAGTTGTGGGTTGGACTTATAGTGAAAAGAGTGGATTCATCCCTGGTGATTATCAGGAGAAATGGCCAGGCCTCAGGATTTGTGCGCCACCTGCTGCTCAGACCAGGTGACATGTTAGTGTTCCAAGCAGGTCTGTTCTGGTGTTTATAAAATCTGCTTTTAAGTAAATGCTATTTGAGTATAAATATTTTAGTTGTGAGTTATGTAAATGTTAATCATATAAAATGCCTAGTAAAGTGATTAAGGAGTATGCCTGCTATGGCTCAAAGGTTGAGTTTGAACTATGAATCAGGAGGTCAAGTTTCCATTCCCGGTTAGGCACATGCCTGGGGTTGTGGGCTGGATCTCTACTAGGGGGCATTCAGGAGGCAGCCAATCAGTGATTCTCCCTCATTATTAATATTTCCATCAGTTTCTCCCTTTCCCCCTTCCTGAAGTCAATAAAATATAAAAATAAAATAAAATAGGATGAAATATGAAATTTAGTATTTTAAAGTGTGCAAGGGGATGTTTTATATATTTTTTAAATTCTTTCTTATTTAAAACATTACACAAGACTTCATTTTCCTTCATTGATTTCTCTTTGCCACCCTCACTCCTCTACTTTCTCTTGTGCTTATGCTAATATGCATGCATATAAGTCCTTTGATTGATCGATCTCTTATCCCCTTACCCCTGCCTTCCTTCATAGGTTGGACAGTCTGTTTGATGCTTCTGTGACTGTAGTTTTATTTTTATTCATCAGGTTATGGTGTTCATTATATTCCACAAATGAGTGAGATCATGTGATATTTCTTTTTCTCTGATTGGCTTATTTCGCTTAGCGTAATGATCTCCTGTTCAATCTATGCTATTGCAAATGGTAAGAATTCCTTCTTTTTTTTTTTTTACCGCAGCCTAGTATTTCATTGTGTGGATGTATCACTGTTTTCCAATCCACTCATTTGCCGATGGGCACTTAGGCTGTTTCCAAATCTTAGCTATTGTAGATTGTGTTGCTATGTACCTAGGGCTGCATATACCCCCTCTGACTAGTGTTTCTGTTTTCTTGGAATATATTCCTAGAAGTAGGAGAATTGGATCAAATGGCAGTTTCATTTTAAAATTTTTGAGGAGCCGGCACCAGTTTGGCTCAGTGGATAGAGCGTCGGCCTGCGGACTGAAAGGTCCCGGGTTTGATTCCGGTCAAGGGCATGTACCTTGGTTGCGGGCACATCCCCAGTAGGGGGTGTGCAAGAGGCAGCTGGTCGATGATTCTCTCTCATCGATGTTTCTAACTCTCTATCCATCTCTCTTCCTCTCTGTGAAAAATCAATAAAATTTATTTTAAAAAAATTTTTTTTTGAGGAAATGCCATATTGTTTTCCCATGGGGATGTTTTTTTTTTGTTGTTGTTTTTGTTTTTAATTTGCCCTAGGTAGTTTGGCTCAGTGGATAGAGTGTCTAATGAAGAGTCCCATGTTCAATTCTGTTATAGGGCATATGCCTGTGTTTGTGGACTCAATCCCCAGTAGGGGACTTGCAGGAGGTAGCCAATCAATGATTCTCTCACTTTATTGATGCCTTTCTCTCCCTCTCGCTTCCTCTTTGAAACAAATAAAAATATTTTGAAAAGTTTTAATTTTTAGAGCAGATTTAAGTTCCCAGCAAAATTGAGCAGAAGGTAGAGAGTTCTTGTACACCTCTGCCCCTCCACACTCACAGCCGCTTCATTCTCCATGCCCCCCATTCCCCCTCCACTGTGCCAGACATTTGTTACAACTGTTGGACCTGCACTGACACATCCTGTCATCCACAGCTGTGTGGATACAGGTGTTTTAACTGCAGACAAATCCTATGATTCCCAGCGGAGACAGCCTGGGTTGTGCTGTCCATTTCCAGGAGAGCTCAGCCACAGGCCTCAGCACTCACTCCGGTGCCTCCTGTCCTCACTCAGAGTCTGTTCAGTGGCGCTGTCTTCTCCATGTGACTCAGAGTTCCCCAGAGTCAGGACGTGGCACACACACTGGGTGCTCAGGGGAGTCTGTGGGGTGAGTGACTGACAGGAGAAGGATGGGGACCTAGAGGAAGGCTGTGCAGGCCAGGAACTCCACGTGGCAGCAATGGGCTGGCCACAGTTGGCCTCCTCACACCGCCAAGGGCCACTTGTTCATTTGCGGATGTCTAAGGACCCATGATTGCTGCTTGGCCTCACAGTGCCTCTGGTTCTGCACACCACACGGATGTCAGACAATGCAGAACAGATCGATATTGGGGTCAGGGTTACTGAAGTGGGGACTTAGGGGCTGGTGGTCATAAGGGAGATCATTGGGGGTGCGGAGAAGTGGTATCATGAGGGCAGGAATGGGGCCAAGGGAGACACAGTGTAGTCCAGGAAGGCACTTGATATCCACGAAGTATTCTCTGGGGAGGAACCTCTTCCCTTTGATAAACATCACCTGGTGGCAGCTGCCATGGTATTGACAGGGTTGCATGTGATTAGATGACTGTTATTTCTTTTCCTGGCTTCAACATCCCAAAGAGCCCACAGCATCCAGCCAGAATGCCTTTTGGGCTTGAAAATGTCTAACTCCCAATGCTGCTCCCTGCCCTTTTTGCTCACATTCTTATATTTAATCTTCCCCACCCAGATTGCTGAGCTAATCCCATCTTCCCCAGAGCAGACCCACCCTTTTCCTTCTGGGCCGGCCAGAAGATGGAATCACTCCCTTTGCCCTCGAGGATGGCACTGCCTCCCCTCCAGCTTCTCTACTTTTAGATCCTGAATTTACCCAGAGAAGAGTCTTTCCATCTCTCTTCTTTCCAAGACAAACCCCCACCTTTCCATGGCCCAGGCTCATTCACAGGGTCCCATTAGGATGGCCCAGCGCCACCCTGCCCAGCCCTGACCCCTGCTTGTCACGCTTTTCTGTGACCTCCCTGAGAAGCCTTGGGGTCTAGGACAGCCACAACCTCAGCTGTCCACCACTTCCTCTCTGAGGAGCTCATAATCTGCTATGTCACCTGCCATAAAACTGAACTTGATGCCTGGACACATTTCCTTTTTTTTCCTGAGGATGGCACCAGTGTCTTCTCAAGGATGTTTTAACTCTGCAATGTTCTGATAACTTTGAAGTGGCCAAACACGCCCAGCAACCATGCTTTCAGGTTTTTCTCTTTCCTATTTAACATCAGGAACCCATGACACCTCCACTATCTCACAAAGATGATGAATCTATGGACCATTAATCAACCTCAGTCAGTTTCTGTGGAAGGGATCTGTAGAGAGCCATCTGGGAAGGCACATGGACATTCTTTTAGTTCTTATCAGCTGAGTCCGAGGGCACTGGCAGAATCCTGTTATCAGTATTGATATTTTTATCTTTATCAATGTGCTTGGAAAGAGGAACAAATAGGACCTGACTTACCCAGATCTTTTTTTTTTTTTTTTTTTTTTAAATCAGCCTTTCTGACACTCTTTTTTTTAATATATTTTATTGATTTTGTACAGAGAGGAAGGGAGAGAGATAGAGAGTTAGAAACATCGATGAGAGAGAGTCATCGATCAGCTGCCTCTTGCACACCCCCTACTGGGGATGTGCCCGCAACCAAGTTACATGCCCTTGACCGGAATCGAACCCGGGACCCTTCAGTCCCCAAGCCGAAGCTCTATCCATTGAGCCAAACCGGTCTCGGCTACCCAGATCTTTTTAAAAAATATATTTTTATTGATTTTTTTGCAGAGAGGAAGAGAGAGGGTCAGTGAGTTAGAAACATCGATAAGAGAGAATCATCAATCAGTTGCCTCTTGCACACCCCCTACTGAGGATATGCCCGCAACCAAGGTACATGCCCTTGACCGGAATCAAACATGGGACCTTTCAGTCCGCAGACCGACATTCTACCACTGAGCTAAACCGGCTTCAGTGCTTTCTCTAATTTCTTAATCCCCAGATCCTCCATTCAGGAACCTGGCGTTTTCTGTGCGGGATGCGTAAAACAGAGAAAATGCCCACCACAGGGATCAATAAGCCAGACCTCCACCCTGCCCTTCCCTAACTTTCCTTCAATCCATTCATCTGAAGGGAGACAATAATCCCATTGGGATTAAGGGTGGGATACTGAGGGTCCTGATAGGATTCTAGTGTTTAAGAAGGTGTATAAAATCCTCAGGCACCAGAGGAGAGATTCAGAGACTTCCAGCTCTGCAGTCAGTGCACTGGTCCTCCATCAGGCCTGAGATCTGAGTCCCAGCCAAGCCAGTCACAGCAGGTAAATTACCAGCCTCAGCTAAGACAACTGATGTCACGTTGGCACAGACCTTTTCCTTTTTCTTCTGTTGTTTTAACAGACTGATTGAAGGCATTGAGTTTGCCTCTTAGTGTAGTTTATCCTGAATTTCAAAATTTGGACTTGAGCTTTCACCTATTTTAAAGGTGTAACTAAGTTTATTCCCTGACACCCCTCCTCCCTCCAAGCCCCTAATGAAAACAGCTTAATGGTGGTTTTATTTCTGGAAATTTTAAATATTGAGTTTGTGTCCATATACTGGTCTGAAATTTTTCCCAAAAAAGGTGGGGGTCAGTTTTCAGGCCCTTTGTACCCACTTCCCAGGCAGACCGGAATGAAAATGTGGGTGCTTCTGAGATACTTGTCCTGGGGCCTGCAGGGGAGCTATGGCTCTGTGGTCACCTAGCCTGGAATGGGACTCTCTAAACTGAGGCTCTCACCATTGCCAGGCAGTGGCGTTGGCCCTGAGTTGATTCCTGTGAAAATGGGGAGTCAGAGGATGGGGCTCAAAGGCTTGGCCTGATGAGGATGTCTTGTTCCCTGGACGTTTCCACAGGATTCCTTTGGAGCACCTTGAGGATGAGCATCAGGACCCCACCCACACTCCTGCAGCTGGCAGCAGAGAGCCTGCTGAGGGACCAGGCCTCGGCCATCGCAGCTCTGGAGTACCTGCCCGCCGAGCTCTTCCCGCAGCTGTTCATCCAGGCCTACCGTGGTAGATGTCTCCAGGTCCTGAAGGCGATCACACAAGCCTGGCCCTTCACTGTCCTCCCTCTGGGCTGTCTGCCAGACCTGTCACTGGACGTGGTCTTTAAAGCCCTGTTGGATGGGCTTGACGTTGTGCTTGCCCAGGAGGTTCGCCCCAGGTAAGGCTGCTCCTGGTACTTGGGAGGGTCCTGAGCATCCCAGAGACAAAGGAGGTCAAGGCATGTGGAGGGCTTAAGGGGGACCCAAGTTTCTGAAGGTGCCTGTGAGGGTAGGGAGCCCTGCCAACTGGGCAGCAGCACCTCCAAACTGTGCCCTGCCTCCTCCCAGTGATAGTTAAAGGTACACAAAGTGCAGAGCAGGAGAGATGGAAGGAGAAGAGCAAAGCAAAGCAGGGTCCAAGGGAGATGCTAACCTTGAGAATCAAAGTTAAAGTCAGGGTGGGGGTAGAGTCTGGTTGTTGCCTCAACTCAGATGCTTAGTCTCATTCTGACCTGCCCTCATTTTTTTTCTTGATTTCAGAGAAGAATGGAGAGTGAAATATAGAAGCCTCAATGATGAGAGAGAATTATTGATCAGCAGCCTCCTAGACACACACACACACATACACACACACACACACACACACACACACCACACCCTAAGCATGGAGCATGCAATCCAGGCATGTATCCTGACCAGGGATTGAACTGTGACCTCCTGGTTCATAGGTAGATGCTCAACCACTGAGACACACTGTCCATACAGCATGTCAGCCAATGCATGTTGACCTGAAAGAATCTCTGCTAATGTCCTGCTTTCCCCACAGGAGGTGCAAACTGCGGGTGCTGGATTTAAGGTACATGGCTCCCAACTTCTGGAAAATATGGTGTGGAGACAGCACCCAGAAGTACTCACCGATTTTTCCAGTGACTGAGCACAGGTCCAGCCCCAACATGGAGCATCCCTTAGCTCCCGTGGAGGTGTTCCTAGACCTTAACTTCAATGCAAGCAACAGGGAAGAGTTTCTCATGTACGTCATCCAATGGGCCCAGCAGAGGGAAGGGCTGGTACACCTGTGCTGCAAGACGCTGAGGATTGCTGCGGTGCCCTTCTACAGGGTGAGGAAGGTCCTGGATGCGGTGCAGCTGGACTGCATCCAGCAGGTGGACCTGAACTGCACCTGGGACCTGACCACCCTGGGGACGTTTGCTCGTTATATGGGGCAGATGAGGAACCTGCAGAAACTCTTTCTCTTCCACATCCAAGTGCTGGGTGAAGAGGAGGAGGATGAGGAATACGAGGAAGATGAGGAAGAGGAGCTGGATTGGGAAGAGGAAGAGGAACTGGATTGGGAGGATGATGAACTGGAATTGGAGGATGATGATGAGCAGGATTTGGAAGATGATGAACTGGAATTGGAGGATGATGATGAGCAGGATTTGGAGGAGGAAGAGGAATTGGATTGGGAAGAGGAGTGGGCGAGGGAGGAGCAAGAGGAACAGATATCCTTTTTCCAGTTTTTCTCTCAGATGCTCAGCCCACTGCACCTCTGCGAGCTGGTCCTGGATTCCCCCTCCTTCCTCCGAGGCCGTCTGCACCAGATGCTCAGGTGAGCAGTTTAGCACTGTACACAGCATTAGAATGTAAAGGGAGCGGTGTTGTTAGATGCTTTGAGGGTGATATCCTTTAAGCACCCAAAGGAACATGTTTTAAAATCAGCCTGTCGGGATGGGTACCGTGTTACCCCTGAAAATAAGACCTACTTACAGGTTTCCTTCTGAGTGAAATATAAGGCATCCCCTGAAAATATGGCCCCCTTCGGCTAAACATGAGAGATTTGGTCCACTGATTCTGAAAGAAATGGAGTCACAAGAAATTCACCAGGAAATTCTGAAATTGGATTGTGATGATGATGTTCCAGAAGATGATGACATGATTGTCATTGAATAAATGAGTAAATACTTGATACTGTAGGATTCACAGTTTGTCTGGTTTGTGTTGACAACTACCGTACTCCCATACCGTATACAGGTAATACATTTCCTTTATTTTCATTTAACAATAAATGTGTACAGTATTCTTCTTCATAGAAAAATAAGATCCCTGAAAATAAGACCTAGCGCATCTTTGGGAGCAAAAATTAATATAAGTCACTGTCTTATTTTCGGGGAAACAGGATAACAGAACTGGCTCAATGAGGGACCCAGTCATCCTGGGTGTGTGAATTCTTCCTTAGGGACAGATGTCTAAGTGATGAGGCCTTAGGAAAGGGGTTGGAAGGAGGTAAATCACATCAGATGGAGCATTTGAGACATAAGCTCTGTGGTCACCAGCCACGTGAACACACGTGAGCCTGTGTCAGATTCCCCATCTGACATAGATGGTCCTCGGTACCAGGAAGGTCATTAGTCGAAAGGACAGGCATGGTTTCTCATCTAAGGGAGTGAGAGTGGGCAGGATTGCAGCGTGACCAGTGGTTTGCGGTGATGTATGGATGGAAGTCTCCTCTGCACACTGACCTCCCCAGTTGATGTTGCAGAATCTTCCTCTGGTTTACTCTCTCCCTTTTAAAAAAATCATCAAAGGAGAATATTTATACCCTTTGATTTTTATAGAGTCAAATGGAAGGGAAGAGAATGGGAGAGAAATACATAGTGAGAGAGAGATGATTGCTTGCCCTCTGCAACTCCTCTACCTGCCACCGCCCTTCCCGGGAACTAACCTTTCTGTGTCTCCCCAGGTGCCTGCAGTCCCCCTTGGAAAAACTCCTCATTAATCGCTGCCGGCGCCTGACCCATTCAGACCTGACGCACCTGTTCCAGTGCCCGCACCTCAGGCAGCTGAAGTCCCTGCGTCTGTGTTGTGCCAGCCTCGCCGGTTTTAGTCCTGAGCCCCTCCGAGCTCTGCTGGAGGCATTGGCACCCACCCTCCAGGTACTGCACCTCGAGAACTGTGCCATGGTGGACTCTCAAGTTGAGGCCATCCTGCCTATCCTGAGCCGCTGTCACCAGCTGAGAGAGTTCACCGTCACTGAGAACCGCCTCTCAGTGGCCACCGTGGAGAAGCTGCTGCGCCACACAGCCGGGCTGCGCAGCTTAGAATATGAGTATTACCCGGTCCCCCGGGAGTGTTACACGACGCTGGGCACTGTCCACTGGGACAGATTCGCCCTGGTCCGGGCTGAGCTGAAGGGGATTCTGAGGGAGTTAGGACAGCCCAGGACCATCAAGCTTGCCACCGACAGGGGCTACATCGAGTTTTATGAAGTTGCATTTTCATGACTGGGAGCCCGTGCTGTTCCCCTGGACGGACCCTGCTCAGTGGGTGGACCCAGCAAAGCCTTCTTTCTGGGCCTTTGGAAGCTGAAACCTTGGATCGGGGTTTCAGGTTCACACTCAGTGTGAATGGGGAAAGGGAGGGACACAGCCAGGAAACAGGATTGCAGGGACAAAGGATGGGGACTTACTGGGACCTCAAAGGCAAAGTGTCCTACAACCGGAAACATGAATCTCATTTGTGAAGGGGGTGGGGGGAGGCAGAATTGGGGCTTGAGTTTCTTGTGGGGGAGTGAATCCTGGGATGGATGATTGTAAAGGAATGATGAGAAATAAAGACAATTTCAAAGGCAACCTTCTGGTCCTCTTGCATGCATTCACCTGTCTCTGTAGTTTCCACCTCAGGATCCTGTAGTCACTGATGAAAAAAGGTGGGGAGGGCTCAGGGTCAGAACCTGGAGTGATGGGGTGTGGTTTGGCTGCAGCGCTCAGCACCATGTTATCCCTCCCTCCAGGCCTTCTCTTCTCTCTGGGCCTGTCTGACTTGTGGCTGTTCAGTGGGTGGATACAATGGGCCATGCTAGGTGGCCCACCAACCCCTGTAGTGAAGGGGCTGCTGGCTCTGACCCTGGACTTGAGTGTTCCTCATGGTGCTCCAGGTGGACACACAAGTTTCAGAACTTGTGCCAGGAGGGGGTCAGGGACAAGGCAGGAGCCCCACTTCCAGAAGTAACCATATGCAGAGGAACCATGCTGCTGTGCACCTAGCCCACGCCTGTCAGCCTCATGGGGGGTTGGCTTATACCCATTACACCTACCGCCTCTCTATGGAGCAAGACTGGAGAACGTGTTCTGGAATCAGCCTGTCAGGAAGGGGAGCAGACACCCTGCACAAATAAGTGAGCTTCTTCTCTGTGCTCAGTCACTGTATTAAGTAGTGTGTCCCCAAATAGCCAATAGGGACACATGGACGCAGGTAGGAAATTTATAGGGATAGGCTCCTGCCTTCAGTCCCAATGCCTGCCCTCTGCAAGCTGGAGAATGTACAAAGCCAATGGTATAACTGAGGCCAAGTCCAAAGGCCTGAGAACCAGGCCTTAACCTTCAGTCTGAGCCCATAGGTCTGAGAATAAAGGGCAGCTGGTGCACACCCAGCAGTTTGATGCCCTGACAACCAGGAACCTATGTTCACCATCAGCTAAAACCAAAGAAGAGAGAATTCTTCCTTCCTTCCTCTTTCTATTCCACGTGGGCCCCCAAGAGATTGGAGGAAGCCTACCTGCACTGTAAGATCTCCTTACTCGTGTACTGAATCAAGAGCTCACCTGGTCCATTCACACTCAGGTTTTCCTAGCTACCTGAGCAACCCATAGCGGCATCAGGTTCAGCCATCACCAAATGGTGGTCCATGAAGTCCAAAAGTTGGATGACCTCAGGTCAAGTTGACACATAAAATTAACCCCTCACAGGGACACTTATCAAAGGGCACTCTAATAAGACTCACGCTGAGGAGGGGTGCTGTTGGGTGGAGGGACCTCAGGCAAGAACCTGTTCCCCTGTCAGATGAGGATCATGGTGCTCACCCAACTTAGTGGATGCTTGTAAGATCCAAGGAGATGGAGCATGTTGAGGGCTTGGCGGTGGGCCTAGCATAGAGTAAGAGTCAGTAAATGGGCTTTTCCTCTTTTCCCTCCCAGCAGAAGCCCCCAGCATCTTCCCCCTCAGTCTCCTGTTCTCCTCCTGAGGACAGAGAAGAGAGCCCAGCACACGGCGCCCAGTGGGACTCAGCCCCTGCATGGGTCCCCCCTGATCCTGCTTCACCCAAACAGCTATAGCCATCAGCATGAAGGTGGGGAAGTTGAGAGGGGTGGGCAGGGGTGTGGTTAGAGTGGAAAGAGTGGATACATCCCTGGTGATTATCAGGAAAAATGGCCAGGCCTCAGGATTTGTGTGCCACCTGCTGGTCAGACCAGGTGACATGTTAGAATTTCAAGCAAGGCTATGCTATTGAGTGTTTTTAAAATCTGGTAATACGTAGATGCTAGTGAGTATAAATGTTTTTGTTGTTATTTATGTAAATACTATAAACTTCTTTTTAAAATGAAAAAAGAGCCTGGCTGGTTGAGTATGAAACTATGAATCAGGAGGTCATGGTTCCATTCCTGGTTAGGCACCTGCCTGTGATTGCAGGCTGATCCCTAGTCAGGTGCATCCTGGAGGCAGCTAATCAATGATTCTTCCACATCATTAATGTTTCCATCACTCGTTCACTCTCCCACTTCCTGAAATCATTAAAAATATTATTAAAAAATGGAGTTATATAGGAAATTTAGTATTTAAAGAGGCATGAGAATCTTTTAAAAAAATGTTTACCCTATGTGGTTTGGCTCAGTGGATAGAGCATTGGCCTGTGGACCTAATGGTCCCAGGTTCAATTCTGTGCAAGGTACATGCCCAGGGAGCAGGCTTGATCCCCAATGGGGGTTTGCAGGAGGTAGCCAATCAATGATTCTCTCAAATCATTGATGCTTCTAGCTCTCTCTCTCTCTCCCTTCCTCTCTGAAATAAATATAAAATATATATTTTAAAATGTTTTACTGGGTATTGAGACTCAAAACAAACTTTAAAACTGATTTTAAATATCAATGACCAGCCGAAACCGGTTTGGCTCAGTGGTAGAACATCGGCCTGTGGACTGAAAGGTCCCAGGTTCGATTCCGATCAAGGGCATGTATGTTGGTTGTGGGCACATCCCCAGTAGGGGGTGTGCAAGAGGCAGCTGGTCGATGTTTCTCTCTCATCAACGTTTCTAGCTCTCTATCTCTCTCCCTTCCTCTCTGTAAAAAATCAATAAAATATATATTTTTTAAAAAGATCAATGACCAGTAATTGTTTTATCCTTAAAAACATTTGGAATAATAAAATTTAAGAGCTGGAAGGATTAGAGTTACCTTATTAAAAGCAGACTTTACGGCCCAGCTGGTGTGGCTTAATGGTTGAACGCTGATCTATGAACCAGGAGATCAAGGTTTAATTTCCAGTCCAGTCATGTGCCCTGGCTATGGATTCATTCCCTATTGCACGGTGTGCAGGAGGCATCCAATCAACAATTCTCCCATCATTGATGTTTCTGTCTCCCTCTCTCTTCCTCTCTGAAATAAATAAAAATATTTTTTAAAGTTTATTTTATTTTTCAGAGCCGATGTAGGTTCCCAGCAAAATTGAGCAGAAAGTAGAGAGTTCCCATACACCTCTGTCCCTCCACCCTCACAGCCTCCCCACCCCCACACCCTACTGAGCCAGGCATTTGTTACAATCTTGGGCCTGCCCTGACACATCCTGCCACCCAAAGCCCATCATTGCCATCAGGGTTCATTCTCATGACTGTGGAGTCCTTGGTTTTTGGCAAATGTATAATGACATGCTCCCACCATGGTCATAGCATAGATTTGTTGTACTCCCTTAAAAACCCCCTTTGGCCGAAACCGGTTTGGCTCGGTGGATAGAGCGTCAGCCTGCGGACTGAAGGGTTCCGGGTTCGATTCCAGTCAAGGGCATGTACCTTGGTTGCAAGCACATACCCAGTGGGGGTGTGCAGGAGGCAGCTGGTTGATGTTTCTCTCTCATCAATGTTTCTAACTCTCTATCCCTCTCTCTTCCTCTCTGTAAAAAATCAATAAAATATATTTTAAAAATCCCCTTGGCCTCCCACTAGCTTTTACAAGTACATATATGATCCAAACCAAGTTCATTTTTATGTGTGGTACAAGCTTTGATATTGATTTTGTTCCCATGTGGATATCCTATTGTGATGCCATTTGCTGAAAAGACTTTCATGGCCCCATTGAATCTCCTTGGCACCTTGTTGAAATTGACCACACACAGATCTCTATTCTGTCTAACCTGCAGGCCAACACCACACTGAGAGCCGGACACCACGTTGGCAGGATAAAAGACTGACAGCAAGGCCAAGTTGTTGCTCTAACAACTCAGGGCCTGGGCACTTAGTGGCAAAGAGCAGAAAGTCAACGGGGTGGCCAGGCATCCCTGTGAGAAGCAGGCGCTGTACGCTGGAGGCAATGGCCTCTCTCAAACCGTCTTTTCACATATGCATCTTCATGAGCACCGGGTGAGGTTGTCTGAAAGTTAACTCTCTGCCAAAACGTGGCAAATTTTTTTTTAAGTGAACTCAGAGTTAGTCTCAATTTATTGTTCCTTTGCTAAATATATTTTGTTGATTTTTTACAGAGAGGAAGAGAGAGAGGGATAGAGAGTTAGAAACATCGATGAGAGAGAATCATCAATCAGATGCCTCCTGCACACCCCCTACTGGAGATGTGCCTGCAACCAAGGTACATGCCCTTGATCGAAATCGAACCCAGGACCTTTCAGTCCGCAGGCTGATGCTCTACCCACTGAGCCAAACCGGTTTCGGCAAACAAACAAATAAACAAACAAAAAACGTGGCAATTTTTTATTCCACTTAACACCGTGGCCTCCCCGTCCCCGGCATCACCATGTGCTCCAAAGGCCCGGATGAGAAATAGTCCATTAACTTCCCATCGTGGGCTGGGCCGGGCGCCAGCTTCCCATTTGACAGTGAAATCTGTTCGAGCAGCTCCGTGACACACTTGGATGTGGTTATGGACGGAGGACTCAGCCTCCTTGAGCGTTCAGATCCCTCTCTGGTCCCCGGAGGCAGAAGTTGGCGCTGTGACGCCAGGTCCCTGCGGGGATGGCTCCCACCTGCCTTGCTCGGCCTCTGAAAAGTGTTCCACCTCGGGCGACCCCTGCTTTCTCAGGAGGGAAAGTGATAGCGAGGGAACAGGACGTTTTGAAAACCCGCTAGTTTTGTCCCTTTGTTCTGACTCGGCAGACTTGCGTGATTTGTCATCCTTCAGTCAGCACAGAGCGTAACCTACACACTCACCTGGTCTGGGTGGAATCCTTGATTTCTTTTGGCGGCCAGTCTCCGTTTAGGACAAAGGAGCAAGTCAGACACCGAG